GCCGGGCTGCGCTCGGGCCGGGCGCGGCCGGCGGTGCGGCGCGCCATGGACTTCAACATGAAGAAGCTGGCGTCGGACGCGGGCATCTTCTTCACCCGGGCCGTGCAGGTGAGGCTGTGCGCCCTGGGCCCCGCGCGGCCGCCTCCCGGGGCCCGGATGTGGGGCGAGCTGGAAGCCCTGCATCGCGAGCCCGGGGGCGCAGGAGAAGCCCCTCGGAGCTGCCCCGCTGCAGGGCACAGTTGCGCCCACCTCTCCTAGCCCTGCGGCTCCCGGAGCGCCCGCCACGCGGGCCGCACCCGCGACCTGGCCCCAGGGCAGGGACGGAGCCGGGCCTCGGCCCTGCCGCCTGGGGGGGGACAGGTCTGAGTGTCCACGTTCCCCCCGCTGGGTTACCCGCTGCTGTGGCACCGGCCCCGGGCTGGTGGGGGCTCCGCCGGGGAGGGGCGAAGGCATCGGGAGGCGCCTGCCCCTTCCCTAGCGCAGCAGTGACCGGCCCCTGCAGGCCGGCGGGTGGAGACCTGGGGCCAGAGCCAGGGTCTAGGACACCCCCCTCGACCCCCTCAGTTTCCGCACCTGAGCAATGGGCTGGGGGCGGCTCCCCTGGGGCCCTTGTACAGGCTTGGACCTTCAGTCCGGAAGCCGGGAGGGCTGGGCTTCATTCCTTTCTGTTCTGTGACAGGGCTGCTTCCTATTGCCCAGGCCTGACAGATCGGAAGAGGCTGGGGTCTGGCGCGGTGCCCTTCCTGGGGAGCCATCAAGGCCCATCTTGCTGGCGTTGGAACAAGTCCTACCTATATGGGTGCAAGGAGAGAAATAGAGGCAGCTTAAAATCATCTGTGGGCTTGGATGCTCCCTCTCGTGACCTTGGGGAAGGGGTGTCACCTCTCTGGGCCTCAGTTTTTCTGTCTGCAAAATGGGGTTAGCCGTTCTCCCATCCCAGGATGTGAGGATCCCATCTGTGCTCACTACTGGGGTGAGCGTGGTCCCTTGTGCACATGTGTAACCTGTGACCTTGGCGTGTCACTTCTCCCTGAGCCTCCATGTCCCTTCAGTCCATCAGGTGTCACAGGGGTCTGCCTCCCAGGGCGGCACAGGTTCGGGCTCAGCCCACCGCGCTCTGGAGCAGAGCTGCTGCTTGTCCTTGCCCAAGTCTCGGGAGGCACAGCAGTGGGTCTCAGGAGCCCGTGGGGCCCTGTTTACTAGAAAGCGCTGCTCCTTCTGGGCATCAGTGCCCAGCAAAGCTTTGCCGCTCCACCTTCTAAGCCCACTGGCCACCCCAGCCGAGTGGGGAGGCCTTCCAACAACCCCCATTCATCTGGAAGGTGGGAAATTCACCCCAGTGTTGACATGGCAACTGCTGTGTCTTCCATAGCTGGGAAGAACCCGATCTGCCAGTTTCCTGCCTCTGTGGGGCCTGGCACCTGACCCTGCCAGGCCTGCCCGCAGAGCCTCCAGTGTGGGGGGCCTGCCCATGACCACATGGGACCGGGGGGACAGGCCCTCCGGGTCACCCATACTGGAGTGGGCACCATCGCCAGGCCCAGCCTCCAGAGTGGAGGAGGAAGACGGGAGCTTTATAAATAGAGGTTTTCTCTGGCTCTGCACGCCTACCCCCTGCTGCTGCCATCTTGCCGGGTGCAGCCTCAGACGCTACAGATCAGCCTCTGAGCCACTGGGTCCTTCCCCATGGCAGGGGCCTGAAATGTGACTGGAGCAGGCAAGGACCCTGGGGAGCCACCTGCGGCTGGTCTCCTGGGGACAGGAGCCGCCTGGAGGGCTCCGGAGGTGTTTACTGTGGGGGGGGGGGCAGCTGCCTGCAGGGCGCCCCCTGGCTGGGTCCAGGAGCGCTGGGAGAGAGAGCAAGGTCCCCCCCCTCCAGGGGCACCTTTATAAGCTTCCTGGCTCCCCTGCCCAGGTGCCACCTTGGCCTGGGAGAATGCAGAGGGCAGGATCCCTTTTGCACCGCTGGTTCTGGGTGCAAAAACAGAACTGTGTGCCTTTACAGCCAGGAGGACTCAGTGCAGGTGGCTCAAATAGGGCTTCCAGGCGGCAGGAACAGCCCAGTTCTGGGCGCCAGGAGGGGAAGCGAAGGCGCAGCTGGGGGAAGTGCCAGGGCGGGTGGGCGTGCGTAGTAGATGTGCTAGCACTGATAGATACTGCTGCTGGCAGCGGGAGTAAGACACGAGCCAGGGAGGCGGTGCCACTGAGCCAGCCACGCCGGCAGCGTGGATGTGGGGTGGGCGCCCAAGCGCTGAGGTGGTGCTTTGAACGGGGTGGGTGTGGGGTGTGCGGGATGGGCACTGCCCTGCAGGACAGGCGCTGCCCCACCTGGGTGAAGGGAGCAGCTGAGGGCAGCTGGGTGGCCTGACCTGGTACTGTGGGGAAAGGCGGTCGCTGGGGAGGGACACGGGGAGACCTTTCCTGGGGAGGATTAGGAACAGGAGGCCGAGGCCAGTGTGTCAGGGCTGGCTGTGTGCTGACCGCCGAGCCGGGTGCCTTCTAAGTGTCCCGAGTGCGACGCCCTGTTCACCCCATTCTCCGGGGGAACCAAGGACCACAGAGGTGATTGCCTCTTAGAGCCTCAGTTTCCTCATCTGGGAAATGGGACTAAGGCCACCCCCTCAAAGGGCCAAGGTGACTTGAGGCCAGTCCAGGAACTGGCCCCGTTTGCAGAACTGGGAGGCAGAGGCAGTGGGGAGAGGTGAGAGTCACCAGGAGCTGCTGGTCCTGTGGGGAGCTGCGGGCTGCCACCCTGGCCTGAGGGGCCCCAGCCCTGCGGGAGAAACCTAAGTCCTGTTGCATAATTGATGGTTGCAGGCAGCCTGCAGGCCGCCCCACCCGCCTCCCACCACGCAGGCAGGAGCTGGGCGGCTACGCCTCCCTGGCAAGCAGTCTGGTAGGCTCCAGCCAGAGCTGCTCAGGACAGCCCCAGCCGCACCCTCTGCGAGAGGGGACACGACCCACCGCATGGCCGGCCTTGCAGGGTAGGGGGCTCCCCCACTCCATGCGTGGGCCTTTACCCTGTTGCTGTTTGGCTGTGCCCTGGCGCGGCCTCCTTCCCGGGCTCCACAAGCCCTTGGCTTGTCTAAGGGCCTCCCCAGATCAGAGGCGCGGACCTGGTGGTTTCTGGTTGTTCCTGGGTGCCCCTCATGGCTCCTCCAGCTCTGGTGGGGGGCTGTGTGACTTCCCAGTCCCTGCTTGTGGACTGAGCTCTGAGCCTGGGCACAGCAGTTGGCTGTGGCCACCACCCCAGAAGCCAGCCCCTGCTCCCTCTGGCCACGTCTCTGCCACCAACTATGAGCAGCAGAAGGGGGTGGTGGATGGATCTGTATCCTCGATTGTCCCCCGCAACTTTGGTCCAGCCACCTCATTTCACAAAGGGGTAAACAGGCCCAGAGTGGGTTTGTAACTTGATCAGGGCCCCAGAGCAGACTGGGGGCAGAGCGGGTTTCTTGACTTTGGAGCCTGGGCCCCAGCTGGGGGCGGGGCAGCCCTCCCTCCCCCCTCTGTAAGTACCCCTCGGCTTTCCCCACCAGTTCACAGAGGAGAAATTCGGCCAAGCCGAGAAGACGGAGCTTGATGCCCACTTCGAAAATCTTCTGGCCCGGGCGGACAGCACCAAGAACTGGACGGAGAAAATCCTGAGGCAGACAGAGGTGCTGCTGCAGCCCAACCCCAGTGAGTGGCCGAGGGGGTCCCTGCGCCAGGTGGTGGGGCGCGGGCCGGAGGCTGGGCTGCAGGCAGGGCCGCCTCGGGGGGCCGGAGTGGACACAGGCCCGAGGCCTTGACTGCTGTCTCCCGCAGGTGCCCGGGTGGAGGAGTTCCTGTATGAGAAGCTGGACAGGAAGGTGCCCTCTCGGGTCACCAACGGGGAGCTGCTGGCTCAGTACATGGCAGAGGCGGCCAGTGAGCTGGGGCCCACCACGCCCTACGGTGAGCCGGGGACCGCGGCAGCCAGGAAGCGTGGGGCTTGCGTCCTCTCCTCCTCTGACCCCTCCTGTCTTCCCTCCTTTGCCTTTTAACGATATAAATAATGCCTGAGCCCGTTCTGTGGCGCTCATGCCAGACAGAAACAGTCACAGAGCAGAAGCCCCGGAGTCAGGTGTGCGCCCACCGCAGCGGCCAGCGGCCAGCGGCCACCTGCAGGTCCAGCTCAGTCTTTAGTCACTGCATCGCTTAAGTTTCTTGCAGCAAAATTAATATCCGTAGGCTCTGAGTGTGCGATTCCGGGAGTGCTGGCCAATGCAGCGTGGTGCAGGCCTCCCGCCGTCCACTGGAGCCCCCACGCCGCCGCGTGGGCCACACCCCCAACCTGCTCTCTGTAAGGCTGCCCTTTCTCCACGTCACGTGGATGGACAGTGGCCACGTCCTCTGCCGCGCCTGCCGCTCCACGCAGCACGATGGCCACGGCCCACTGCGGCTGTGCGATGCTTGGGGGGTGGGGTGGCGTGGGGTGCGGTGCGGTGCGGTGCTCGCGACTGTCTGTTTGCGTTGAAGAAGCTGCGCAGCTGCTTCGCGGAGTAGCTGTGTGATTTCACCTTCCGCCGCCGGACGCTGACTCCAGACGTCTGCGGCTTGTCTGAGCTCTTTGCTGTTGCTGATTTGATTTCACTGTGGGCAGAGGCGCCCTCGCGTCCCTTTAGATGTGTTGACTTGCCTCCGGCCGTCGGGAGCACCTTCTGCCCCTTGCTGCGGGGGGCGGCGGGCCAGGGCCACTGGGCAGACTGGGCGCCGGCACGCCCCGGCCTCTCCTTGTCTTGTCCTGGCGGCCGCTGCCTCGCCCGGCCCTGCCTCGCCCGGCCCTTCCGCTCTGGGCTTGAGCTGTCTTGTACCGCGTCTGTGTGTGGGCCGTGGTGTCGGACTGATGAGTTGACTCTTGGAAGATGCTGCTCTTAGTGTATCACGGCGTTTGCCCTTTTTTTTTTTATGTTTATTTTTACATCATTTTGTACATTTTTCCCCCATCTCAATTGTAATCCCCGCGGGTTTCCCATCACCAAGTCACCCGTGTGCCATCACCATAATCCCATGCACCCCTCCCCCCCATTCGTTTGCCCTTTTTTAATGTTAAAATATTTTATCCCTGAAGGGTGTTGTCCATCAGCTGCGTGTCCAGCAAGCTGTCACGGTTCAGCTGGAGGCAGGTGTTGCTTCAGTGCTGGTGCTTTGGTGTTGATGCTGCTCACTTACTGGGGTGGTGGCTGGAGGTTGGGGTGGCTGCGGCATTTTCAGAATATACACCAGGGACGTCTGCAGATCGCCTCCCTCCCAGAGAGCTCTCTGCAGCACAGTGCAGTTTGACCAGTTTTTAGCCACAGTAGAACTCTTTTTTCTGTGTTTTTTTAAAAAGATTTATTTATCTATGCACATAAAAACCGAGGTGCAGGCCAGAGATGCATAGAGAGGCTTCACCGGAGCAGACTGGTGGAGTGACTGAAACACACTGCTGAGGGGAGCAGTGGGGAGACAGGAGGGGTCTGCTGCGCCCTGTGGGTCACTCCCTGGCTGGGATGGAACTCAGGCTACAAGGGTGGTGACAGCTTGATAGTGCTGAGTCTTTAATTCCCAGGGAGGCCTGATTTCTTTTTTTGTTTTCTTTTGTTTTCATTACAGTGGAGTTCGGTTGTGTATCTAGGCCACTCCCTAATGCCCTCATGTCTGGGGCACTTAGTCTCTTTCCTTAATGGTCATTGCAAGCAGAGCTGCAGGGAGCATTTGCCATGAAGTCCATCCTGGCAGGGCTGGTGCACGCTTGCTGTATGTCTCCCTTTATTTTCAGCCTGTCCATACCTTTGCTTTTTTTTTTTAAAAGATTTATTTATTTGTGCATACAGAGCTGGGGTACAGGCCAGAGGCTGAGGGGCGGCGAGAGGCTTCACCAGAGACAGAGTGGGGAGCAGAACAGGCAGATGGACGAAGTGCACTGCTGAGGGGAGCAGCGGGCGGGCCAGGAGAGGTCTGCCGCGTGGTCACCTCCGGGGCAGGCGGGAATCGAACTCTTGCAGAAGTGGCTTTAGCTTCTTAGTGCTGCACTTTTACCACTGCGCCACCAGGCAGGGCCTCCCTTGTTTTTTTTTAAAGGTGTATTTATTTATGCACACAGAACTGGGGTACCAGCCAGAGATGCAGGGGGTGAGAGGCTTCCCCAGAGACAGAGAGGGAAGCAGAACGGGCCGAGGGGAGCAGTGGTTGGGTCAGGAGAGGTCTGTGGCGCAGTGTGAATCACCCCCAGGGCGGGGATCGAACTGGCACCCGGCGGCCCCGCCAGCTCGCAGTGCTGCGTCTTGGCCCGCTGCGCCGCCAGAGCGGGCCTCTGTCCATACCTTTAAATTCAAAATGTGTCTCTTGCAGTTCAGAGTTCTATTTTTTTTCCCCTTGTCAAAGTATCTTTTTACTTTGTGGGCAAACAGCTGGCATCATTTCTGCTGAAAGGTGGGTGTCTTGGACAACCAAACCCTGGATGTTCCTTTAGTCCAACTTGAAGCCTGAGCCCTTCATACTGACGGAAACACTGGCTGCAAATATTGAGGAGCACGGAGAGGCCAGAGCGTGCCGCAGCCCGAGGGTCACTCCCTGGCGGGGCTGGGACTGACCCCTTGTGCCAGCAGCCAGCATAGATGCCTAAGGGGATGCTGCCGCACCGCCCTTGCGATCCGAGATTGCGAGCCCTGGGGTGATTCCGCTGTGTGAAACCTGCCTGCGCTCGCTGTTGTGAGTCTGTGTCCCTGCAGTTCACAGCAACTGATATGGCTGCTTTTTATATTCTCCTTGTTGGGCTTTGTGTTCTTTTTTTTTTATTTCCTTTTTAGAATCCTTTGAAGCTTAGCTTTTTTCTTTCGAGGCTTAGCTTTCTAGGGTTGCACCTGGGCCAGCCCGGTTAGCCAGTGACTGGCCTTGCACTGTCCAGACCTCACTGATGAGTTTCGGAGAGGCCTGGGCCACACGCAGGAGGCCACGCAGCCCCTGGGTCTTCTCCCTTTATTTGGTGGGTGTGCAGAGCCAAGGATGTGGAGCTCGTGGGTCCGCTGCGGTCTGTCCTGGCGCCATACACACGCACAACCTCCCCAGCGGCTGCTGGGAGCTCCGAGGGGCCCGTGGGGTGACTTTGTTTTTTAGATGTCACGTTAAATTTCTCGAAGCTGTGTTGGTCTGTTCCGACTTCAAGTTAGGCTGTGATTACTCTGACTACCTGCCCTTAGGATCACTCTGGCGCTTGGCAGTAGGCCATGGGTTTTCTGTGCCCGGTGCGGACCGAGTCAGCCCTCTCCAGCAGCTGTGCGTCCGGCTCTGCGCGAGGCCTTGGCGTGCCAGGCCGAAAAGCCACGCGGGCTTGCCGAGGCCCGCCCCCTCCGCAGACGCGACTCGCCTTTGCCCATTTCCAGAGCCCAGAAAGGGCTGCTCCTGGTGACTGTACGCAGCTTTATGACTGCTCTCGGGGACAGCACTTGTTGCCCCACTTTCTCTGCTCCTCTGCAGGGCCCCCACCCCCGTCTTTTCAGTGGCCATGCGGTGTCCGTGCCGGATGACCCGACAGGTGTGCGGATGACCGTGTGTTCCAGATCAGCCGCCTTGCACTTCCTGCCTGGGGCTGTGCCTGAGCCGCCCCCTTGCCCCCCACCCTTCCCCTCCTTTCCGCAGGGAAGACACTGATCAAAGTGGCAGAAGCTGAAAAGCGCCTGGGAGCCGCAGAGCGGGATTTCATCCACACGGCCTCCATCAACTTCCTCACGCCCCTGCGCAACTTCCTGGAAGGGGACTGGAAGACCATTTCGGTGAGGGCCGGGACCCCCTGTCTGTTGGTGACCCCAGAACTGTCTCAGAGCCCAGGCAGGGTGCTCAGGCCCCCGGGCTGTCCCTGACGTGGCTTCTGGGGGCTGAGAGACCAGAAGTGGGCGACCTCGCCCGTGCGGGCCTGTCTCCCTGTCCCTGTGGCCCGTCCTGCCCCCGCCCGCGTCTCTCCAGCATCAGGCCTCACTGCCCCCCTCCCCCCCCCCCACGCAGAAGGAGCGGCGGCTCCTCCAAAACCGCCGCCTGGACCTGGACGCCGGCAAAGCACGGCTGAAGAAGGCCAAGGCCGCAGAAGCTAAAGCTACGGTAGGTGTCCCCACCGGCTCCGACCCCCTTTCCCTGCTCTGCGGGGTGGCGGGGGTGGGGGGGGCTGGTGTTTGGCATGACCTCCCTCCCCGTCCCTGCCTGGAGAGGCCTGGCTGGGGCCTGGGCTGGGGAGGGCGCTTCAGGCCCCGCCTCTCTGCCCCCACCCCCAGGGGACTTCGGGGACCCAGTGCTCTGGGTCTGGGACTTTTAGGGGGTGGGGTGACCAGCAGGGCTCCCCCCGAGGCTCGGGTAGCCCACAGTCCCCCCAGGCAGGCAGCCAGTTTTTCGCATGCCCCTGCCTGCCCTGCCTCCCTGGATGCTTGGCTCTGCCCAGCTTTGCCAGGGCCTGGCCCTCACTAACGCTCCCAGCTGCTGCTCCCAAACGCCCTGCTCCCAGGGTGTTCTGCACAGGCTCCCTGGGGTGGCAAGGCGAGCCCTGCTTGGGGCATCCTAGGGGCCTCTTCCGCAGCCCCACGAGACTGGCTGGGGCCCGGGCAGCCTGGGCCCCCTACATGCGCCCCTCACTGCGGCCTGCTCAGCCTGGCCGGCCCACGGGACAGAGTGGGAACACTTGGCCAGGGCTAGGCCAGGGTCGAGAGAGCTGAGCCGAGGGTGAGCCCACTCCCAGCATGTCAGGCTTTCGGAGTGTGGGGGCAAGGGCCATCGGAGGGGAGACCCTCCACACTCCTGGGCAGCCACTAGGCTGTTGCTAAGGAAGGCCAGGCCCAGCCCAAGCTCACAGCTGCCCATGAGAGTTCTGGCCCAGCCCCTCCCGCTCATGGTACCCGGGGGGCCCACTGGGCCCCAGGCAAGTGCCTTGGGCAGAACCTACCTCATGCTGGCATCGGGTCCGGCTGGGGGCTCGTTGGGCTTGGCTGGGATGACCTGTGGCTGTAGGGATACCCGCTTAAGTTCCTGACAGGACAGTCTTGCCTATCACTTAGGCCTGGACGACCTCTGGAGTGACTTGGCCAGGCTCTCATTTCGTCGGCTGAGCCAGGGGCCTTCTTCTTAGTGAGCAGCACAGCCTCCCCTCTCACTGACCGCGCTGGACCAGCCTCAGGGTTAGGCCGGGGCACCCTATCCAGGGCTGGCACCTGGTGGCCCAGCAGTTGCGCCCACACTGTCTGCCGCACTCGCGTGCACACCCTCGGGGCTCCTTCCAGAGGGCTGGTGTGCGTCTGTCCGTCTGTCGCCGTGGGCCCCTCCCTGCCAGGGCCCGGGGGGCCTGCTCCCGCCTGCGCTGTGGCCTCACTAACTCTCTGTTTTTGTTCCTTTCCGTTCTGCTTTGGGTAACTTGGCTCAGTGTGAGGGAGATGTGAGTATACCTGTCCACGTGCTGTGCTGCTTCTGGGGTGCCATCTCGGCCTGGGCCCACACCACCAGCCCGGGCGCAGCCTGGCATTTGCAAGCAGCTGCTCTCGCCCCAGAGCCTCTACCTTGCGTAGCCTCTGGTTTGGGGGACGCCAGGCATGGGAGGCAGCTTTTTGCAAACCTTGAGAGCCGGTCCTGTTTTCTGTGCACCCATCTGCCCACTCGGGTGGGAGTGGGGATTCTGGGAGGAGAAAGCTGCAGTGGCAGCTTTGTTGAGGGGACTCTGGGGCAAACTGGGCCATCGGTGAGTTGGGCCCGGCGGGGCTCCCTGGAGGCCAGGGCTGTGGCGGCAGCGTGAGCCATCTCCCCACCACACGCACCCACTGGTCTGGCCATGACCCCCGAGCAGCTGGTGTGAGAAGGGGTTCTGTGTTGTATCTGTACCCAGCTGTGCGTGGGGGGGAGGCTCCTGGCATCTCCCTACGAGAGGTCTGGGCGGCCTCAGGCCTCCCCCGGCCGCTCGTGACCTGCCCCTGTGAACTCTGTTCCTGCCAGACGGTGCCTGACTTTCAGGAGACTAGACCTCGTAATTACATTCTCTCGGCCAGCGCCTCCGCGGTAAGCGCCCCCACCCCGGCCTCCGCCCCCTCCCCCACAAAGGACCTGGCCACTCAGCTGCCCGCAAGTGGGGCACAGCAGCCCGACTGGACAAGCGACTGGTGCCCTGTGCTGAAGACGGAGGCGGGCCAGCTGCACTGAACAACCTAAGACAGCGGGGCCCCTGCCAGGCACCCTTCCCTGCCCAGACACCCCATCACCTCCCTCCCGAGGCTCCAGGCCACCCTGAGATGGGGCCCCCGAGATGGGGGCGGGTGTGCTGGGCCTCCAGCTGCCACCAAGCACACCTGCCAGAGGCCGAGCGCAGGCGGGAGCTGGCACAGACGGCTTTGAGTGTCTTGCCCCGCCCCTCTAGCTCTGCTGAGCTGGTTGGTGTTCGGGTTCAGTTGGGGTGCCGGCCATTGTGCCTTTCACAGCCCCGCTGTGCCTTTCTCTGGCCTTCTTCGTCCCGTGGGTGGGGTCGTCCCTTGCAGACCCTCGGTCGTCCCTGTGGCCAGTGTGTCCATGCCACCGTCTGCGGGGCCTCTGTGTAGCCCACCAGGTCCCCACGTCTGTCCATCCGCCTGGAGGTGGCTTCCGTGCTGTGTGGCCACCAGGGCCGGCCTTGATTTTCTCCTGGGTTTCAGGCCAGGGTCTCCGCTCAGCTTTCCCCAGGGTGCAGAAGGAGCTTGTCCCCAAAGTGAGGCGGGGAGGAGGGCTTTTGACTCTGGGTGCCCCTTCCTGCCCTCCTCCCTGGGCTGAGTGGAAGGAGACGGGTCCAGAGGGCTTCTGCTTTTGCCTTTGAACTCCATTGTGACTCGGGCCCCAGGTGGCTCTTCTCTGCCACAGGACAGAAAGGTTCAGTGACTGGCCAGGTCAGGTGGTCAGCCTCCCAGCCCAGCAGCCTTGGCCAGGTGTTGGGGTGGGTAGGGGCCCCATCACCCTGGAGACCCCCCTCAGAGCCTGAGACTGCCACTGTAGGAGCCCAGCAGGGCCCGACTGTCCCCTCCCTGCATGTGGCATGCTGGACCTGCCTCTCACACCAGGCCCCAGCCCAGACTCAGCTCCCAGGTGGCAGGGGGGGAGGTTGGAAGGGGGGGTGGGAAGAGGGCGGGGTCTCTGGGAGCTGGGGCAGGGCATGGGCTCGGGTTCTGCCATCTGCCCTCACCTCTCCTGCTGACCGCTGACTGGTGCCCCTCCCTCCCCTGCTGACCGGTCCTGTCATGGTCCCCGCAGCTTTGGAATGATGAGGTGGACAAGGTGAGTCAGGGCTGAGGTCATGGGGGTGGGGTGTAGGGTTCCATGTCTAGCTCTGGGCTCTGCCCTGCAGCCCCTGGAGTCCCCGAGGGGTCACACGCTCCCTCTGTAATAGGACCACTCCCTGCCGGGTAGTGGTGGGGGCACATGGTGCAAGGGCTGGCCATCAGGACGTCCAGGTGAGGGTGCAGCTTCCCTGGAAGTCAGGCCACAGGCCTAGTGTGTCACGGGGGGCACGTGCCCATATACAGAGGGGAGTGGCAGAAGGCCAAGGCCAGGCAGGCACTTCGGCTCTCACTCGCTCGACCCCCCAGGCTGAGCAGGAGCTCAGAGTGGCGCAGACCGAGTTTGACCGGCAGGCAGAGGTGACCCGACTCCTGCTGGAGGGCATCAGCAGCACCCACGTGAGTCCTGCCCCCTTCTTCCGCCCGCCCACCTGCTTCCGTCGTCCTGTCCTGCCGCCCCAGGCCACTCAGCATGGCTACAACTGAGCGGGGTGGGAGCTCAGGGGAAGGGGGAGACGGCTCTGCTAGGTGGGATTCAGCCCGGAGGACGCACATCACAAAGCTGCAGGACACGCAGGGAGCGGGTGGTGGGGATGTTAGGTCTGGCCAGCAGCCGGGGTTCAGGTGGGATGTTCGCGACCCTCCTGCCCTTGACTGTTCCACAGGTGAACCACCTTCGCTGCCTCCATGAGTTCGTCGAGTCTCAGACCACTTACTACGCTCAGTGTTACCGCCACATGCTGGACCTACAGAAGCAGCTGGGCAGGTGTGCTGGGGGCCCCCTACCTTCCAGGTCCCGCCAGCAAGGGCCTGCTCCCGGGCTCAGGACAGCTGGAGGGCCCATGGGCCCTGGCCATGTCTGACCTCTCTTGGCATCTGACCTGACCGAGTAGCTCAGTGCTGGGCGGGGGCAGGGCCGGGCAGGGCTGGGCAGAGGCGTCTCACTCTCCCCCGGCTCTGCTTTCCCTTCATGCTGCCAGCTCCCAGGGAGCCATGTAAGTAGCCTGGAACCTCCCCACCTCCGCGGCAGTAGGTGCAGCTGGTGTTTGGGAGGGTACCTGGCACTCCCCCCGGGATAGGGCCTCAGCTGATGAGATGCACCCTCTCCAGATTTCCAGGCACCTTCGTGGGGACGACAGAGCCCACCTCTCCGCCCCTGAGCAGCACCTCACCCACCACCACTGCGGCCACCATGCCTGTGGGGCCCTCTGGGGCTGGAATGGTCCCTCCCGGGGAAGCTGCCCTCTGCCTGGAGGAGGTAGCGCCCCCTGCCAGTGGCACGCGGAAGGCCCGGGTGCTCTATGACTATGAGGCAGCCGACAGCAGTGAGCTGGCCCTGCTGGCCGATGAGGTGGGTGGACCTGGGTGCCACCATGGGTGACGGGACAGGGCTGGCTTAGCTTAGCAACTCAGACCCACACCGCTGGCTTCATTGTCGAGGCCCGGGGAACCAGGCCCACGGTGGCGGGGGGTGCAGCGGCTACTCCAGCTCTGTGGGGACCAGAGCTCCGAGAGCAGGCGGGGAGGGGCCCGCGCACCGCTGGAATGGATCCCACGGCCATCCCTGCCGTCCTGGGCCAGCTCTGGCCTGGCCAGGCGTGACCTGCCTCTGTCCCCCCCTCCAGCTCATCACGGTCTACAGCCTGCCAGGCATGGATCCCGACTGGCTCGTTGGCGAGAGAGGCAACAGGAAGGGCAAGGTCCCGGTCACCTACCTGGAACTGCTCAGCTAAACAGGCGCCACCCAGACCCTGCCTGTCCCGGCCTGGGCGGGAGCAGATGGCCCTGCTGCTTTGTCTGTTGGGGACCAGTTGCTCAGGGTGGGAGGCCAACCTGCTCTGTCTTGGCTTCTGGCCGTCCAGCTGTGAGGGCACTGAGGCTGAGAGACCCCAGCCCCCCCCAACCCTGCTTCTAACCTGAGACTCTGGAGCCCCCAACCCTGCCTGCACCCCCCGAGCACCCAGCCCCCCAGGGGCGCCTCGGGAGAGAGGGGCTGTGCTGGGGCAGCTGGCCCTGAACCCGGGGTTCGCCCTCGGCAAGAGCACTGCCTTTTTGTTGCTGCAAGCAGCAGGGGGACCAGCAGGTGTGAGGCGGCCTCAGGAAGGGATGCGGGAGCCTGGCAGAAGGCGGGGCTGGCCCGAGCGGCCTCTCCGGGTGCTGCCTTCCCTCCCTGCTCCAGCCAGGCTGGCGCTGCAGCCCGCCCCGCCACTACTTTCTATGTGATCTTTTTACTCTGCCTGTCTGCTCGCTCTGGCTAGTGACAAGTAATAAAGCCTCCTTCATGTGTGTGGGCCTGGCTCCCGTGGGGCCCCAGACCCCACTGGCTGACCGGGGTGGGAGAGGGAAGCCCACTGCACTGTCCTTCCTCTTGGGCGGGGTGTGTGGTCAGAACAGCACCACGGCCTGCTGAGGCGCCTCTGCCAACAGGGAAGGGCAGTGTTCCTGCCAGGCAGGGGCTGGCTGCTGTTGGCACGACGCTTCCTGCCGGCCAGCACTGAGCCAACACAGATGTGCCCCCTCCTGTCTTCCCCCCATGAGGGACCATCAGTCTCTCCAGGTTCCATAACCGAGTGGCCAGGCAGAGGCTCCAGCTCAGGTCAGTGATTCCAGAAACTTCTAGTGATAGCTTTGGGCGACACTCTGTATTTCAGCGGGGCCCAGCGCTATTACCAGGTCTGAGGCAGGCCAAGGGCTGGTAGGCTCCAGGGCTGGGGCCTCTGGGTGGGATGGAGGCAGGGGCCCAGCTATAAATAGGCCCAGAGCTTCAAGAAAGGCCCCACCCAGGGATAAGCTGTGCCAGCTGGTGAAGGGGCGGGGTGGGGTGGTGAGTAAGACCTGCGTGCCAAGGAAGGGAAAAGCTGGGTGTCCTCCACTGGGTGCCCAGCAGCCAAGGACACCAACGGCACCAGCGGTCCACATCAGGCCGCCTCCAGACCTCAGTTCCGCCCGGGCCCTGGCTGAGGATGCCCGTGCTCTAGGCCCTGAACTTAGCACACGGCCATCTATAAACGGTACTTTAATATTTGTATAAATAGACCACAGTATTACCAAAAAACTGCAAGAACAGAGCATGGAAAACAGTTTCAAACCCGTGCAAGACTCCTGCCCCGGACGTGACGCTGGCTCCCCACGCCCAGGCCAATCAAGCCTGGGGGGGCTGAAGGCAGCAGGCCCCTCTCGGGGCACCCTAAGCACATGCGTGCAGCCAGCCTGCCCGGCCCTGCTGCTGACCTCTTGATCTATTACAAAAATAACGCCAGTGGGCGGCGGTCGGAGTCACGCTACACGGGAGAGTGCTCTCGTCCCGGGTGGGGTGCAGGCCAGCAGCACCCCCACTGCCCGGGGCTGCTGCACAGGCTGGTGGAGGGCGGCGGGCGGCAGCCCCTGCCCTATCTCTGCACGTGACGCACAAAGGCCTGCACCAGCTGGATCAGAGGCTCCTGGCTCTCGGGGCTGGCCTTGGACAGGGAGGACTTGCCCTGCGGCGAGGGGAGGACGCCCGCGGCAGGGGAGCTGGGCGCTCCCCGGCGGAAGTAGCGCGAGAGGCTGGAGAGCAGCGTGCTCTGCAAGAGAAGAGGCAGCTGTGGAGGCTGTGTCCACAGGACCCCAGGGTTCTTCCCCGCCGCCCTGCCCCAAGTCGGGGCCCTGGGTCCACCCTACCAGCTCCGAGCTGAGCTCCTGCTTCATGCGCTGCTTGTCCCGGGGGTGCACGGCCGGGTCCCTCAGGTAGCGCATCGCCTGGGAGATGAGCAGGTAGAAGCAGTTCTCCATGGTGAACATCAGGAGAGACCTGGAGAGGGGCAGGGCCGGGCGCTGTGAGGGCTGCTGGGAACCACGGGCGGCCTGTGACTGCCCCCCCCGAACGGCCCAGGGGGCGTTCTTACTTCAGTGTTCTGGTCCCTTCTGCCTGTGTGCTGAGCCCCACAGCCTGGGTGAGAGGCTCCTTTTTCTTGTCCAGCTAGAGGGGGGGGAAGGGGGTAACAAGACAAGCCGGTCCGCATGCTGAGCGGTCTGGTTCTCCCCTGCATCAAGGCGGGCCCGGCACAGCCTCGTTCCAGCCCCAGGGTGTGGGCAGAAGGCTGGGGTCAGCTCCTGACAACAACACCCAACTTACCTCTCCAAGCATGTTCAGGGCCACGTTCACTGTGGCCAGAAGGGTCCCAAAGGAGGGGGCCACTTCGGAGTCAAAGGTGGGAGTGGTAAAGCTCAGGGCAAACAGGAAGTTGTACTCGGCAAGGTCCAGGGACTGCAAGGCAAGACGAGCGATCCAGGGCCCAGCCGGACTCCAGGATGGAGCACGGCTCGGTTTCTGAGGCTCGAGGCACAGGGCCCGGAGGCAGGTACCTGATCCAGCAGGATCTGGCAGACGTCCGGGGTGAAGTGGCGCAGGGCCGCCAGGGTCCTGCTGAGGATCTTGAGAAGGCCGTACTGGACCGCGTGCAGGGCCCTCTGCTCTGCGGCCTCTGTGTCGGCAGCGGGCTGCTTGGAGGAAGTGGAGGGGGCAGCAGGGGCAGCTGCGGGTGGCCGCTGAACTCGGGGGGCGACAGTTGAGGGGATGCCATCCCCATTTTTGTTCTGGGAGGGAGAATGGAAGTGAAGGTAAGAGCGAGGGAACCCAGGGGTGAGGCCTGGGGGCAGTGCGGAGAGGGGCGCCTACCTGCAAGTAGTGCTGCAGCATTTTGCGGCTGTGCAGGAGGGAGGTGCAGGCCTGGCACAGGTAGCCCAGGTTCACCTGAAGTGGCGAGCAGAGGGCTGACTGGTAGCCAAGCGCGGCTCCCCGTCTCTCCTCACTGAGCGCTCCAACACGCCCTCCAGGGCAAACCCCAGACCACAGGTGCCAGGGCTGCCTCAGGACCCAGCGGCATGCTTGGGGCAGTGTGAGGTGCTGAGGAAATGGGGCCACTGCCCATTCTACAGCAGGAAAAGGCTGGGGAGAGGGACTTGGCCAAGGCCACATGGCGAGGTGCCTGTATGACTCAGAGCCGGCACCTCCACTTCCCAGGCTGTGACCCAGGTCTGCCAGACCCCAAGTTCTTACCCCACCACTGCCCACCACTGGAAGGAAACCGACCCCGAGCAGCCCGAGAAAGCCCGTGCACAGAACGGGCCCAGCCACGGGCAGGGCCGCACCTGGACGTCCCGCAGGAGCTGCGGCAGGTGGAAGTGCCACTCCTTCCTGAAGTTGGACAGCTGCAGGAGGAAGCCCACCGTGTGGTCCGCCTCCTCCAGGCAGGCCAGGCTCTGCACTGTCCTCACCGCGCTGAGGCACTGCAGGGAGACACAAGAAGGACGGCGACTCGAGTCTGCCTTCCCCTGGGAGAATAGGTCCCGGGCCCGCAACCACTGTAAGCAAGCCGCAGAAGGGGCGGCCTGGCGGCCTGAGAAGAGGGTCCCCTGCTGGGCCCAACCACCCCTCCCTTGCAGGGCAGGGCGCTCGGCTGCCAAGTCGCCCTTAGGTGCCTCTGGCGTAGGGGCAACCCTCACTACCAAGCCTCAAGCGCAGAATGGCTGGGGCCCTCTGTCCTCCCACGTGCCACCCGCCGTCCGGGCAGCCCACCTGTAAGGTCCGCTCCTGGTGAACCCCCACAAAGTCCAGGGCCTCAGTCAGGAAGTTGTAACGCAGAGTCTTGAGGAGCCGCTCCATCAGAGACATGGACAGGCGGTAGACCCCTGGCCAGGAGGGGGCATCCAGGGACTTCCGAGAGGCACTAGGTGTCTAAGACACAACAGTAGACAGGCTCAGGACGGGGCACCATGGCGGCCGGGCGACAGGGACAGCAGCTACGGCCGTCTGGCTGCTCAGCGAACATCGGAAGGGGACAGCCGCTGCCCAGAGAGGGCGAGGCTGCGCTGTAGTCCAGGCCACCGTCACTAGTCTGCTGAGCTTGTCTTTCTGGGGTCAGCGTGGGGGTGGGGAGGATTCTGTACCATGGGTCTCAGACAAGGCCCTTAAGCCACTTCTTCCTGAGCAAGCGGAAGCTAAGGGGTGGGAGTGGGCACCGCTGGAACCGCGGGCTGGCCAGCGCGGGGCCTGGCGCTCACCTGCACCGCGCCGTTGGTGCTGAGCTGGTACACGCTGAGCAGGGGCAGACAAATGCTCTGGGTGATACCGGCTCCCGCCACGGCTGCGGCTCCCTGGGAGGCAAAGGTGTGGAAGGAGAGGGAACCAGCCGGCGGCCACCCCGCCCAGCAGCTCCCCCGATAGTGAAGGTGGAGGGGGACACAGGCCCCCCCGGCCTCCTACCTGCTGAGTGCGAGCAAGGGTGAGGAGCAGGTGCAGCGAGGCCTCGGTGAAGTGCAGGTTCTGCCGCATGCGAAGGCTCACCTCCAGGGTGGTGAGGAGGGTCGGCAGGATGGGGAGCCTGCGGGTCACCTGCAGCCACGAGTCACCGTCCTCGTCTACCTCGCACAGCTCCTTGGCCAGATGGAGACCCAGGACACACACCTGCTGGGGCCCAGGGACAAATGCGGGCAAAAAGGAAGAGTGGGGGCCAGGCCCACGCACATGCTGCGCCCAGTTACCTTTTAGAAAAACCCAGCCACGGTCTCCCCCGCTGAAAGCCTTACACGGTTCCCTGTCACAGGAGAACCAGAGCCAAGACCCAAGCTGCCTCCTGGCACTTCCGCTCACACGTTCCTTCTCGGGGTACCGGGTGACGCTCACCCCTCCCACCCGCTGTGCCCTGCCTGACCCTACCAATGCTCCCAGTCACTCTGAGGCCCCGGGTAGGTGAGGGAACCCCGGGCTGTACGTCCTCTCCCCGCACTGCGCTGCACGCCACAAGATCCCCACGCCGATCTGCACTGCCTGAGTCAGGCTCTCCCAGAAGGCTGTGCACTCCACGCGTCGGTGATTCTGTCCTGTTTGCTCACCAGCCCCAGGGCCCGGCACAGAGCAGCTCCCCGGGGTGCACCCTCACCCCATCTCGCTGGTCCTTCTGCCGAGGCCTTGAGCAGTCATCAGTGTCCATGCTGTCCTTGTCCTCCGGAGCGCTGCCTGACGCCAGGCTATGGCGGGTCTGGTCAAAGAGTGCAATCACCTCCTCCTGGAGGGTCTCGCAGACGTTCAGCACGAGCTGGGAGTACTGGGGGATGTCGCTCACTGCAAAGCAGACAGGGCTCGTGGCCAGGCCCATGTGCTGCCCGCCACCGCCCGCCATGATTTCCCACCCAGGCACGAGGTGAGAAGTTGACAGGAGACAGGAGGGAGTGACTCTCCATGGCAAGAGGCAGGCAGGTGGGGGAGGAGTTCTCTTCAAGACTTTCTAAGCCAAAACTCACACCTCGCAGGAGGAGGTCTAGCTCTGAGTGGGCAGAAGTCCTGTCTAGGTGAGCGGCCAGAGCAGGGGGTCGCCACTGTCCACGCCCCTGGCTCTCACCTCTCATCTCCTTCATCTGCAGCACTGTGATGAACGCCGAGAACACCTTGGCCTTGGTCTTCTCCATGAGGTGCTGGTCAGCCTGCAGGACTCCCTCCAGGATCTCCGTCAAGGGTCCAAGGACTTCGTCCACAGGCCCCAACTCTCTGAGAGAATAAGGGCCGGGGCGGGAGGCCTGCTCTGAATCTCAGGATGCTCGCAGGAACCCTGCTTCACATCCTGCATTTGCAGTCAGCCCTGCTGCCTACAGGGGGCGGGGAGCTGACCCACTCTTAACCACTTTCTCCCCTCTGGGAAGGCAAAGGGTCAGGGACGGGGCCCAGCAGCCACCCCAGGGCTCACCGCTTCCACTGTCGGAGGAGGATAAGCAGCAGCGTGCACATCATGGAGCCAAGGCGCAGACAGTTCACCGAGCCGGGGACCACGAGCTGAGGGGAAACCACACCCATGAGCTGGCCCAGCAGGGAAATCTGATCTCCAGTCACAGGGCACCTTTCAGTGCACACACGGGCAGGCCCCAGGGGGCGAGGACCCCCAGAGAGACCAGGAACTGGCCTGGCAGCAGCCGCCTGTCTCCCCACTGCAGATTAAACCTCCCGGCCAAAGGGGCCTTGACTTGACCACCTGAGAGACTCACAAAGCCACATGACCTGGAGACTTGCACCCTGGGGCATGAAACCTCCCAGACACACTTACTAACGCTTTGGTCCCATCGAGCACATCGACAAAGAGCTGGTGACGCACTGCAGAGTCGGTCAAGTGCGTTATCTCTGCCTGTGAAGGAACAGGAAAATGACGTAAACAGGGAAAGTGCTCTGATTTTGGCAGCCAGAAAACATGGGGTCCTCTTGCTGATAATGAACAGTTGGTATGTCATGGTCTCCAGATTTAAATGGGCCTCACGGGCCTTGGGGTTCTGCTGTCCACCCTTAGATACGGTTAGGTTCAAGCCCAGATTCCTCTCCTCCTGAGACCTGGGAGGCCACTGGGTCGGTTCACCCCGCCTGTGCTGGGTCGCTTTCGGGAGTACAGGCCCCTTCCCCGAATACGCCAGGCTCTTTCCCACTTCTGATCTTTGCTCTGTGACTCCCTCTGCTCAGTCTGTCCACCTACCAGGCCTCTTCACAGTCCAATCTGCTAGGATATCACCTCCTCACGGCTTCCCCTGGACAAGGGCCTTCTCTACCATCACATCCCGAGTTATCTCCAGTGAATGGGCGCAGCCTCAAAATGTGTGACAATGTGTTTGCCACCTGCCTGCCTCACGAGGTCAGAAACTACCTGCCTTGTCGCTGCTATGTCCCTGAGGCCAGCACGTGTTAAGCTTTTCATTCATATCCACACAATGATATCAATATCCTGGGTTTAACCAGACTGGTTTCCGGGGGGAAAAGGGATGGTGAGATTTTCAGAGCTACAGTTCAAGAACTGATGCCTTGCTGGGGCCCACACGACAGGAGACACTGGTGGACTCAGCCAGTGTCCAGTGGCCAGGCCAGTGGTGGGGCTACAGTCTCGAATGCAACGCACCGTGTCCCAGCGATGCTCCACGCTGCGGCGCACAGGCATTCTGGCACCAGAGCGGAGCCTCCCCGCCCTGTGAGGGGGCACGAGGCCTACTTATCACACTGCAGTCAGTAACGACGTCAAGATCCTGAACCAGATTCCCAGGAAGAAAAGCCCCACACCAGCACAGCAGTGCCAAACCGTGCACACAGGCAGTCTTGCCCAAACACAGCATGTCTAAAAACAGCTGCGACTCTCGGGAGACACGCAGGGCAGAGACAAGGCCTCTGCTCACTTTCTCAAGCCAGGAAATGCAGTTTCTAGAACCAACAGAAACAAAATGCCTTCCTGAAACAGGGCTGTTGCAGCTGTTACAGCTGCCTGGCTTGTCACCAAATATCTCCCCAGTGTCCACAGGGCACCCAGCACGAGCTGGCAATGCCACAGGCGCCGGGGAGGGGCAGGGCGGGGGCCTAGGGCCTAGCCACAGGAGCAAGGAGGGCTACGGGAGGCTTTAGGGATGGCCGGAGGGCTTACGATGACTTTTCGTACTGGTCTCTTGGAACCGACACCCTCAAGTACCCCTGCTGTTAGCCCCAAAACCTGTTCCAGGTTAGTGCCCCGGGGAAAAGCCTGGATCAGTCTTCATGCATGGAGCCCCAAGGGGCCAGCTCTGCAGGCGGACGGCAGGCTGTTGCTAAGATACCAGAGAGCAAGGTGCTTACGTGGCTGGTGGCGATGATGAGGAGCATCCTCCAGGCAGAGACCAGCATCTGGTACTCTAGCAGGGGGGTGCAGCTGCTGCCCTCTGTGTCGGCCATGTGAACCGCCAAGGACTTGACATACCCTGACCAGTAGGCAAAGCGCTTCTCGCTGGAAAACTTCTTGAGCGTGTCTTTCAGTGACTGGTCCAACGAGCCCCTAGGGTGTCCAAAAGAAACAAAACCTACAGTTAGGTTTTGAAAGCAGGTGGCCAGGTAATGGGCGCAGACCCTTGCTGAGGCAGAGAAAGCAACCTCACATGGGCTTAAAGGCAGACGCTCCAGGATCACCTCCATGTGTGGGGCTCCTACTTCTCGCTCAACATAATGGGCTAGGTGAGGCCTTTTCCAGGATTCCTCCTCCATAAAATCCTGAGCACATGGAGTTTGCGTCACCATAACTTTCTGACAATCATAAATGCCATCAGCGGAGTGGCCAGGGACACAGCCCCCGCAAAGGGCCCTGAACCAGCTCTCACCTCTGCCTGGCTCACACGGCATGCGCCCAGTGATAGGCCGCCACGGTCCTCCCCGCCCCAGCCTTTAATTCAAACCTCAGAAGGGGAAAGGACTCACTTAACTACATAGTATATCTCCAAGCAAATTATCTTCATGATTAGGGCACAGGTTTCCAGGATGCTGGGCTGTGGAGGGAGAGCAGAGTGGTCAGCCGTCACGAGGAGCCCTCTTCCCTGCTCCTCCACACTGCAGCAGGACAGGCAGCCAAGACAGGGAGACAGGAAAGCACACTGCCTGTCGGGCGGGAAAGTCATCTGACTTGCAAAAGCAGAAGCGCCAGATCCACAGAATCTCCAAGAATGGAGAAGTCGGGCCATCGAGAGGGCGGGGCATGCCGCTCCTTCCCAGAGAAGACGGCAAGTGGGGGGACGAGCAGGTGTCTGACAAAGAGGCTTCTAGAGAAAACCTCCTAGCGGATGAATCAGGGAAGGTATCACTTTCCACCCCTCAGTCTCTCACTCCTAGTCACACCCCCACGGGCTGAAGGTGCGACACCCTCCACCCCCAAGCTTACCTCAGATGTTTCTGAAGGAGGAGAAAGGGTTCCGAACAGTGGACTGGTTAAGTTCTCCCAAAACTTGGGTCTAAAAATAAAATTCACACTGGAAATCACTTTCTCTCACACACTTTGCCCCCTCCCTGAGTGAGTCTCTCCTCGCCTCGACTGACTACTGCCAGAGGAGCTTTTTCTCCTCTAAACCCGTAATAAAGCTGACTAATAAAATCCTCGTGATTCATCCCGCTTTGTATTTCCAAAGCCCCAGAGGGGAGAGGGGAAAAGAGGACAGATGTCCATGTGCCGTTTCAGGGTTCCTTCTGTTTGTGCGGACAGGGGGTCTCCTCAACCCAGTGGCTGAAGCAAGCTACCCTTGCGGGACAGTGGGTGTGGAGGGCTTGCAGAGGTGGCGGGATGCGTGGGGCACAGCCCTCAGCAGCACTGGCGAGAGCGCGTGGGCCTCCTGTGCGCATCCCGAGCTGTCGCGACACACCTCTGACACCGGAGGTGTCAGACACGGTTCCCACTGCCAGGCTCACTTGGTTCGGAGGACCAGCATGGCACTGTCCCGACGGTCCTGCCACAGGGCGTGCAGGAAGGCGATGGCCGCGCGATGCAGCAGAGGCGGGCACCAGTAGCGGTCCTGCTGCTGGGAATCGATCAGCTCCAGCACAACGTGGAGACAGCTCCACACGCCGAGGCTGAACTCCTGTGAGAGCAGGCAGAGTCCCACAGTGCTGCCGCCCCGCCCCCAGGACCCCGCGCACCCCGTGGGGAGCCAGCACCCCGCGGGTCCCGGGCGCGCTCACCTTGGAGCCGTCGCTGCCGTCCTTCACCTCCAGATTCAGAAACAGTTCAATGAGGCCCGGCTGCGTCTCCACGGCGACCGTGAGGAATTCCAGAATCATGACTTTGATGCGCATGTCCTCGATCTTGCTCTGCAGGCGGGTCAGGAAGGCGTCGCGGATGGCGGCGGCGTCGCTGCCCAGGCACGCGTACACGGACATCGGAGCCACCTGGCGGCAGGGGACGCGGCTCAGCGCTCCACTCGCAGACCACACAGGCTTCTGCAGCAGCGTGCTGGAGCGCTCGCAGAAAATGGCGGGAAGGGAAACAGGCAGACCTACAATCAAGGGTCTGAAGGGACAACAGCCCAGGAGGCCACAGCTCACAAGAGAAACAGTAATGCGCCTCAACAGAGGCCCCACCCTCCTTCGTGCTTACATAAATGCAAAGTGAAAAATGAGGCTGTGCCGATTTGCCTAGCAAACTGGCGAAGATTAAAAAACCGATGAAGTCCTTTGGAACCTGAGGCTGCAAGGTGTTACGACTGTGAAGGGCACAGTCTGGAGGGAACTCTGGAAATGTCTAGTATACTTAAAATAGTCAGGGACACCTGTAAATGCAAGTCTATAGCGTCCTATGGCTAAAAGTGGCCACTGCAGCACTGCTCAGAAGAGAAGGCCGTCAGGAAAACGAGACGCGGGCACCCCACACGCCCAGGGGAGACGGGAGGGCGGCGTCGGGCCAGAGCGTGGACAGCACATGCAGCGGGGCCCTGCACGGTGGCGCGCGAAAGCTCACAGCAAACCCCACTCCAATGCGTCCCGAGTAAGGAGCGAGCTGGGCAACACGTGTCAGCCCACTGGCAGGATGGGCTCGTGGGGATCCCAGTGTGCCCCAACTATCTTTCTATGCTGCACTTATCTGTAACATTGAAATAAATACTTTACAATGAGGACAAATCTTCTGTAACCAGGAAAAAGAAAACCCTCATAAATACGATCTGTGGGTGTGCACGCATGAGCGTCTTCAGGACTCAGTCCGAGCAGTGTCCCCGGGAGAAGGTGCGAGTGGACGCCAGCCAGCACAGCCGGTCTCGGGCTGGCTGGTGATGCAGCCCTACCGTGGCCAGGCGCTTCAGCAGCTGGATGGCAAGACGTGGCAGCGCAGGGTCGTGTTTGTGGTAGATGTACTTGGCAAGAACAGCGATCAGGTTGTTCCCGTGGGCACCTGAAGACACACAGGGGCAGTTCAGACACCAAGGAGGCTGGACTCGAGCTCTGAAGAGAAGCTGCTGTTCAGAAAGGCTCCCACATGTGAAGTGACCTCAAGTGCCTCGTACCGACCAGTAGCCAAGGGGACAGATAGTACTTGGGGTAAATGTCTCACCCCACTTCATTAAGAGCAGAGGGGATACAGCTCGTGTGAGCTGAAACTGGAACCGAGCCAGTCTGGCTTTGAACATGTGTTCTACACTATCATTCTGCAGCACTAGGAAGCAGAAAGCAGTATGACCCAGTCCTCTTGTTTCTAAGTCCAGGATGAAAGCTGGTGACCACGCCAAATTGCCTCAAGGTGTTAAGCAGAAACTCTACTGGCCGCTAAAGACAGCAGAAGCACGCACAATGGACAGAAGTGCGCTGCTGAGACACATACATACCGTGCTGTGTGAGAGCCTGCTCCAGGGGGGACACCACGTTGGAAGGAGGCTTTAGCCGGATAACGTTGTTGGTGACGGAGAAGGCCAGTTTCACTGTCCTGATCAGCAGCTGGCCCTGTCCCTGGCCCTCTGCCCCATCGCTACGTGCCAAATGGAAACCAAAGTGGATTCAGACAAGTGACCTCACTTGTGACCTATGTGCTCTCATGAATCAGATTCCAACCATAATCCCAGAGCTCAACAGCTTCTGTTAGAGGCCCCAGCGCAAGCTAGGGGAGAGGAGGAGGAATCACTCCCTTCGCTAAGTGCCCGCCTACACGACGCCTGGGGTCTAACAGGCTATGTTCTAGGAAGAACAGACTTGTCTTAAGTAGCTACTGCCAGGCCCTCCCTGGTGGCGGAGCAGGTTAGGACGCAGCCCTGCAAGGTGGCCGCAGCTGCTTCAGTGCGAGTTCGATCCCCACCCCAGAGGTGACCCACCGGGCGCAGCAGACCTCTGCTGTCTTCCCGCTGCTCCCCTCAGCAGTGGACTTCCTCCCTCTGCCTGTTCCGCCCCCCACTCCGTCTCTGGTGGGTCCTCTCACTGCCTCTGCATCTCTGGCCTATACCCCAGTTCTGTATGAATAAATAAATGAACCTTAAAAAAATAATTAAAAATAAAGCTACTGCCATCAGTCAAGCATCCTCGGAACATACAGGCACAACAAAGATGCACGGCAATGTACCTCCGGGGCTGAGCAGCCATCACCATGTCGATGGTGTCCACGCCGACACCCATGATGTTGATGACGGTCTGCCCTGCTTCTGTGTAGGCCAGGCTGCAGATGCAGAGAGACTGCAGGCTGGGAGCGTGGCTAGGACACAGACACGGTCCTGAGTCAGGGAGGCAGCAAACTGAACCTAATGGAGACAATCCTACCCCACTTCATCGGCTCTTCTCCCCACGCAGGTGGGAAGGATGAGCAGCCCAGCGGAAAGCAAACGAGGACTCAAGGGTACCGAGCCCCAGCTCCACCACGGTGCGCTCCCCGGGGGAACAAGCTGCAGCCGTGTCCTCGGGTACACCAGCCAGCCCCTCCTACCTGCTGTGCAGGTCCGTCTCGTGGCACAGGTTCAGTATCGCATGAATCAGCTCCAGGATCAGGCAACCTGGGACGGGAAATACACAGGAATGCCCCCTTGTGCGATGACCCCCATCCCCGGAAAGGGAAAGTTCCCTGGGAAGCCAGGATCCCTCCGCTCCTCCCTGCCCCGCCCCTCCTCTCCTCACCAATCTGCTCCCTCACGCCGTGGGAGTTGTAGCGCCACTTGTGGTAGCTGGGGAGCATCTCCTTCAGCACGAACATGACACAGGGCACCAGGCCTTGGCTCTGGGTACTACCAAGCTGCCCCTACAAGAGACCACGTGGTGAGCGCCTTGCATGCCCTTTAAGGAAACGTTATGTAGTTAGTGAAGACTGAACTCCAAAACCAGAGTCAAAGGAACGCTAGAAAAACCCTGGCCATCAGCAAAAACAAGAAATAGCTGAACACTGAAACTGCAGAGTCCAGGTTGTGGGTTTCTCTAGAATAAAGGACTAAAAAAATAAAGCAACAATGTCACAAAATGCACATCTGGGAAGGGGAGGGATGACCGCCAGATGTCGGCGAAAGGGAGGCCCTGAACTAAGGGACACTGGAGACTGGAGTCCCACTGTCCCGGCCTGGCTGTCCCCGACCCCACCCCATCACGGGAACCGCAGGAGCTCTGACACTTGGCCCGAATGCGACTTGTCAACATCAGCTCTCTTAAGTCAAAAACGCAGCTCCTAACGCGTCCAGGCTCCACACTCGTGTCCGTCTCACCACGCACACGCCCACCCCCAGGAGGAAGGATGCCGAGTGCTTCCGCGCGGGGCGCTCTAAGCCACTCCGCAGCAGAGACCCTCGCCAGCCCTCGCACAGGGCTTCTGAGAGGTTCCTCACTTGCAGTTAGCAGCTCTCAACCTGAAGCGCCTCTGAAACCCAGGCCACAGCAGTAACTTTCAAGCTGAGCTGTGTTTCTGTGGCGAATTACAAAATGAACACACTGGGAAGCATTCGCAGGCACGCCACTAGTAAGCACCACACTTACAGGAACCAGCGGGGGTCAGGCGCAGCGAGACATGTGCACCATGATGGGACGAGTGTGCTGCTCTGGGCCACAGTCAAAGTGCCTGGGCGGTCACCGCGCTCACCAGGCCGGCCGAGAACTGACGCAGAGAGACATGCACTGACCCCAACACGGCAGACACCCCTCCGCAGCAACCCCAGAACAACGCTCTGCTGAAGGCAAGATGACGTTAGTAGCGGGGGAGGCAACAGCTCAGACGCGGCGCCTGCGGGACCCACCTTGACGAGAGTGGTGACCAAGCGCAGGAAGGCCACGGTGACCCCGTACTCGCCCTGGGGCTGCTCACTGCTCATCAGGAGGCTTCCGTACCCGCCGGCATTCATCCCCTCCGCACTGGGGAGACAGGGGGTGACGGGGCAACTTCACAGTTGAAAGGAACTCTAATCACAGAGCATTCTTGTCCAGGTGGTTAATTCTGCAAAGGTTTTAGCTAAATCTGGGCAATGTTATACCCAGGGAAAATAAGAACACTGATGTGCCACCTCAAGGGGCTTAAAAACAAACAAACAAAAAAACCGAACACACATCAGAAAATCACCCTGTGTCTAAGCAAGAGCGAGCTGGGGACAGCGCAGGTGGAAGCTGAACCTGCTGACAGCGGGGCCCAGGAAACAAGGAACATGCTGAGGGACTGACACCAGAGAGCAGCCCTGCACCCTCGCCAGTGGGCGTGCTAGTTGGAGGGCGGACGCCCACTGCCTACAGTGGCGATGGCTCCTGAGAATGCCTCCCCCACCTCCACCTGAGTGACCGAGGGCCATCCCCGGGGCCTGGGCAACAGCAGCCTCTGTGCCTGGGTCCCAGTGCTCTTTCCCGCACCCTCCTCTGCCACTCGCAGGGCCGAGTAAGCAAGGGGCAGGCAGCCAAAGGGGCACCGAGAACCTTCTTTAGAACAAACGAAGCTAACCTAGAACTGAGAGGTCTACGGTTCGCCTGGAAATAGACCACCCACCCCAGCTCACCTGAGCATCTGACTCAGGTTGGAGACCTGGTGGACCACAAATGGTAAAAAGCCGGTGTGGCGAAGATCAGTCCAGACCTGGAAAGAGACGAGTGAGTGGTCACCTGCCCTCAGGTACACGCCCAGGGCAACGTTTTCTGCCTGGGAGGAAGACAACGCCTCACCTTTGCTGGGTTCCGGGCAGCCAGGACCGTCAAGCAGTTGACACAAGAAGCAATGACGTCCACAGGCGGGGAGATCACTGTTGTTAACCTGATTGACACACTCGGCCTCAACTCGGCACCGTGGGTGACAGCCGCGCCCCACACAAGTGCCCCCGAGGGCTCTCTTCCCAAGGCAGGGGTGTGAAACAGAGCGCCCTCGCCAGGCTCGCCCAGGCCCTGAGCACGGCGAGCCCGAGCCGGCCGCGTGCGCACTCACCGCTGCAGCAGCATGTAGATGCGGGACGTGACGGGCAGCAGGCAGTCCGCTATGGACAGGTCTGTACTGATGACCTTATGGACCAGATCGATGATGGGCTTGACCCGCTGGCAGTGCTGAATCACATCTGTGGGGACAGAAAGCTGCGACCTCGTGGAAAAGGACACTAAGTTCTCAGAAGGGTCCAAGGCAGGATGCCAAACGCACGGTGGCATCTGGAGCTGTCAGTCCACCCCGCCGCATGCCCATTTTCTCTCGCCACTGAGCTCACCTGCAGTGGAAACCACATGCAGCAGCATTTCGATCTCGCAGGTGAAGAGGGTCCAGCTGCTGTAGGAGTACTCCCAGCGCACGAGGTACGCCCGGTCGTCCAGCATGACTTGGCCCACGGTGCCCTGAGGTATGCGAAGGTTGGTCTGACCCCCTGAGGGAGAGAAACGGTCTAGTGTCCGCCAAGACGAGGGGATTCATGACTCTTGTTGCAGACGCGACATTCAGCTACAGAGGCAGGCAGGTTCCTGGCTCTCACACGGCCGCAGTTTCCCAATGAAAAGCAAAACCCAAACTCTGGTCCTCTGGGTGCTCAGTCTCTCCACGTGTCTGAGAAACAGCGGGGTGCACGTGGGTTTCCATCCAAAGGATGGCTGCGGGAAGGCCAGCCGGGCGCACGGCCGCTCCCTGGCAGGCTGGGGGGCCGCAGTGAGGGGGGGTGCACACTCCTACGTGTCTGCGGGCTGAGCACCGAGAACACACAAGCTCCCAAGTCAAACGGGTTGCTCAAACGCCACCACAGGAAATAACTGCAACTTTCTCCCTACGACTTCATTTGGCACTATCTAGGCACACTTACTGATAACTTAGTTTTCCAAAATTGTGCTTAAATGCTGGAACGTCAACCTCAGACTATACCCTTCGGCAGGAAGGGCTCGCCCCTCTGCACACTCACCCCAGGGGAGACCCATCCCTGGCTGCTAGGCCGCGCTCCAGGCCTTCCAGGCTCAGCCTGGCAGCAGGTGGCCTGCTCCCTCCCTCTCTGGGGTGTGTGCGGATCACTCTGCTTATTCATGTCCTGTCCGTGGACATCTACTTACAACGTCTACTGTAGATACCCTTTTATCCAACAATCCCACTTTGGGGGTTCCACGTTCAAGGAGAAATCCCAGCATAAAAGGGCCTCTTTTTAATACCTTACAACGCAGCATTGTTCGTAATGGCAAAAAAATTTACATAGACTGAACATCCTTCACGAGAGGAAAGAAAGTGCTGGCACCCCAATGCTCTGCAGTCACGGACACGCACAGGCGCCACCCACACACTAGTCAGCTGGCTGAGAGCGGGAGTCTGCCGAGGACATGCGCCCGCTCTCCACCTCCACCTGCGGCCCCAGGCCGGGAGACTACCGGTGAGAACACCTGTGTGCTCGCTCCCCTTGCTCTCTGAAAGGCACCAGGCAGGACGCAGTGGCAGCAAGTGCTGTGCTTGCTGAGCGAGCGTGTCCGGAGCTCAGCCGTTCTCTTACCGAGAGGGTACAGGAGTTTGGGTGCCTGTCTCCGCCAGAGAGTTCCATCTTCATGGGAGAGCACGTCCTGCGGCTTGTGCTTGTACAGTTCATTGTAGAAAGACATCTTATCCAAGAAACTGTACACCTGCCAATACGCAGAAAACCCGCAGCGTTCGCGGCGGGTGGAGCTGGGGTGCCACGCCCACTCACCCGCTGCTCCCTCCGCCCGGCTTTCGTGCAGGTGCTCAAGGCCCTGCCAACCTGCCGGGCTCTTCTGAAAGCTGCCTTCGCAGGTGCATCCAATAGCACCAGCTCAGACCCATCACCCCACCCAAGCCCCAGACGGCGCTCCGCAGAAGGGCGGCCTTCACTGCTGAAGGAGCAAAGCCCATGCCGTCGGTCTTCACGGCCTGGCTCCTCTCCCTACTGTTCTCTGCCCCAATCACATACTAGGGAGCTTTGCAGTTCATCCCATTCCCACATTAACCACCAGGCACTTAATAAAGATCTTAATTTAATTGTACACACTAGCTGTGGCATCTTTCATTCAGCTTCAGCCTGATTCCCGTCACGGCAGAGGCCTTTCAATGCCCAAAGCACACCTCCCACTCTCCTTAGACAACCTGTGAAACCACCCACCTTTTTGGCGGTAGACTTCCCTGACACAAGGGCTCGTAGCAACTGCAGGAGTGGGGAGAGGAGATGAGGGAACATTCCACACACACTGTCCAAAATGATCCCAAGACCGGAGGTCGGCTCCTGTGTGCAAGGAGAGAGGCACATGACCTTCATGTGGTACAATTAACATCTCCAACTGCCCAGCACTCATAAGTCTAAAATTATACCAGACCTCATTCCTCCCTAATAATTTAAGACTTTCCTATTTCCACTAAAAGCCTTATCAAGACCTGATTTAGTCAGCATCTGAAGAGTCTGCTGCTGCTGCCCAGCTGCCCGTCCCCCAGAGGACAGCACTGACCACCTGTGCCTGACAGGTTTCTGCTAAAGTGAAAACCACTCAGCACATCAGCTGTTTGCTACCACATGTGAGCAACAGCTGCTCAGCCTAAATGTTCTTCGATACCAGCTTCTCCCAGGAACTCTGTGATTCCGTAACACTGGACGGAACCTCACAAAGAGGGTCAGATGTTCAGTCAGGCACAAGGGAAAACAGATCCATTCACCAGCTGGATCCAACACTAAGATTAAGTACTGGTGAGAAACTTCTTTCCAAAGCCACATTTTCACCCTATCCAGTTATCATCTTCTGCCAACGTCAGACACAGCACACCCCAGCTACAGCACTGCTGGGCTCCCAACGTGGCAGACGGAGCGCACACCGCTAAGCACGTGCCGACCCAAAGCACAGACTGCACCCTCACCTCGTGTCTGCCCAGCGTGCGGCCTTAGGCAGTCACTGCACCTCTGCGTCACCACAGTGCCAGTGGCAACTTATCTACTTCAGGAATTTGTGTGAAGATTAAATGAGAAAAAACACATGAATGATCAGTGTAAGACCTATTAGTATAAGCATATAAGTATAATATATGCTTAACATATTCCTTTGCCGCAGAGGATATCTAGTATGATTCTACTCAACATACTTACTGTTCCCCAGAATAGTTCCGGAAGTGAAGGGTCTGCTAGGACCTCACATGCTGTGTCAATTACATCCTGTTGGGGGAGAGGGAAAAGATGGCTTATTTCCCTAGTTAGCCCAGCCTATTTGCTATATTCCATTAAAGTAAAAAACAGTATTTTCATAGAAAGAACCGAATCTTAAAAATAATATGTAACATGTTTTATCTGTTATAATGATGCTAGGCAAATTTGATTAACGTCAAATTTGATTAACTGCTCCCCTCAGCAGTGTGTTTCAGTCCATCTGCCAGTTCAGTTCCCCACTGTCTCTGCTGAATCCTCTCACCTCCCGCACCTCTGGCCCGCAACCCCAGGTCTTATATGAATAAATAAATCTTTAAAAAATAACAAAACACAAACACTGCATGGTGTCACTTGTGTGTGGACTGTTAGGAAGTAAAGCAAAGGAACAGACCCTTGCAATCTGGCTAGAGAACTGAGGTACCATTATGAAATGTGGGAAGCAGGCAGTAAAGGGGAGAGGGGCCCAGTGCTCTCAGGCAAAGGAGCCCTGGGGTTCTGGTAGAGCCAGTCACAGTCGATAACATACATTAGTAGAGTGTGACGAACTGATATCCCTAAACAATTAGTGCTGTAACCCAATGTCACCTTAATCAACCACTCAGAATATATACACACAGCCAAATACGCAGGCTGCTACGCGGAGTGTGTGCTGACGGCCCGGAGGGCTGGGTGAGCTGGGTGACGGCCTCCAGCCAGACTGACCTGCTGGTCTCCCAGGGTGTGCAGCTCCAGGGAGGTGAGGACGAACGACAGCAGCCCGTAGACGCACATGCAGGCCGTGCTGGTGGTGCACTGTGGGGAAAGGAGCTGGGTCACTCTCAGCGCCACTGTCCCAGGTCCAGCGCCACCCCACAGGGACCGTCTCAGGGAACAGCACCAAGGGGACGCCGAGCATCTGACTTAGTACCATAATCAGGAGGACAAAGGGAAAAAGAAAGAGCAGGAACCCCAAGTATGACATCCAAGTTAAAAATTGAGAGAGAACCACAATCAAAACTCAGTTTTGTGGGAACGACACCACTCGTTCTAGAGCAAGGATCCAGAGTCTCTGTTGGGGTGAAGCAGTAGCTTCCTGAACTGTCCCCAAGATAAATCCACCAGGGCCAACAACAGTGGGGCCGCTGGCTGAGGTTTCCTGAGTGTGTCAGAACAAGCTAAGTGGGCCACTGAAGTCAAGGTCCGACACGAGACTCAGAGGATGCCTAACTCGCCCTGTTACTGGCTGAACGAGCAAGGCCCCCAAAGAGGTCTCGGTCAACAAGGCCCACGCTCTCTCCCAGGAGACGGTCAGTGCTGGCGCAGTACACTACACTGGCCGGCCTAAAGACAAACACCACCCGTGGCAACTGTTATCCCTCGGAGCACAGCACGATCCCGAATCCAAATCTCCTAGCGTGTAAACCTGAATACAAAGAACAGCTGTGAAGACGGAATGCGATCGTGCACAGAGCGCCGTCTGGCGCGGCCAGTGCTGAGGGTGAGACACGAGCATCCGCGGCCTCGGCTCACGCTTCCTCCTGACTCCTGCCTGCCGTCCCCACCCCGTGCTCAACACCACGCCCCCAGTCTCACGTCGTTTCCCCCACTGGCCAGTGAGCGGAGCAGGCGGGTCAAGTACTGAAACACGTTCAGCTGGATGGCCGTGCCGCCGATTTTCCGCACAACGCTGCTCGTCTCTTCTGGACTCAAGGTGTGACGGAGAAGAGCCCAGGCCAAGAGCACTGGGGCATGATGTGGAATGTCCCCGAAGGTCAGCATCCAGCGGTCCATATCCTAATGGAAACAGAAGGCAAGCCCTGGGTCATTAAACAGAGAGCCTCAGCCCTGCCCTGGACGCCTCACCACGTGCGGCGAGACGCCCTCCTGGCGCACCCTGCCATTTGCCTTTCACTTCTCCCAGCCCTCACTAGTCAGCCCCTCGGTTACTCTTCCCCTTTGCCCGTAAACGTTTCCTTCTGATTCTAAGTAGTCTTAATAGAAGATGATAAAAAACATTAAATACTATGGAATATTATTGAAATACTAAAAATATTTTCCTGCTCCTTCTTGGCTTCTCATTTCTTATTATTTTGGCTTGGGTGTTTAATCACAAACTTAACTCTGCAATCGTCCAGATTTGGAAGGGGGAGAACACGAAGGCCTAGGGCATTTCGAGCAGGTGGGGTGGAGGGCACCCCGACTACAGGAGGACGCCCGGCGGGCGAGATGAAATGTGAGGCCAAGGCGCTGGGGCGTGCAGTCAGCAGTGGTGCTTCCTGCTGGCCGAGCCCTGCTGAGGCGCCCCTGGCACTCACGCCCTCCTTCCCCTTGCTCAAACCACACGTGTCCCAGGCAGCCGCTCAGTCTGGGCAGTGCAGATGGAAAACTGGGACCACTGTGCGGGGTTGAGCATTTGCCATGGACAAGACAGGACCTGTTACTTCAGGATAAAATTCTCATTGAACTTCTCTCCCACTCTGGCACATAAATCCTGAAGTTCTGTGAAAGCCCCGTCTCCCACTGCTCACAGCGTGGCAGTTCTCTGCTCTCCGGCAGTCTGTCTGCAAGAGCCGCAGGCGCCCCGATGGCAGCGTCCCAGGAATGGGCGCAGCGGGAAGTCTGTCTGGGGGCAGCGTCTGCACAGCCCCCTTTCAACCTTTCCAGCCCTGCCGCCTCAACAGTGCTCCCTTTTCCTCGCCTTACAGAGGCTCCCTAGGAGCAGACCCCCCCAAGGCTCTGGCCCAGCCCGCACCCTCAGACTCTCCCGAGGAGCCCAACGGAGAGTTCGTCCAGCACTAACTTCTCAACAGTGTAGACCTTTTCGTTCAGTAACACTGAAAATTCTAAGTGGCAACAGAACTGAGTAGTTAAAAATATATCACTGACTTATAAACCATCTGAATAAGGAAGAGAGACTGTTCCCGAGTCACCTGGCAAATAAGCCCGTCCTGGGCAAACTGATGCAGTTCTCTCCTGTCGTCCAGAGCGCACTTGTGCAGGGACTCAATGTCCATCCCTTCCACCAGGATGAGGGCACTGAAGTAGCTGGAGGAAACGGGGTCATGGTTATGCACAGCGCTTCATGTCACTGGAGGGTAAGGTTTCCTTACCAAAGCAATGACAATGAATTATTTCACCCTTTATTCACACTAACACTTCTAAACCCAGTATATATTTAAACTCGCAAGCGCAGCTCAACTTGAACGGTCACGTCTGAATGCGCCAGTCTCTCGCACCTGCGTCTAGCAAAACACAGACCTGGTGCTGGAGGTTTCTGCAGCCAGCAACCCATGTGCCCCAGAGGGACTGTCTCTGCACAAGCAGCTCTGTCCACAGAGGGAGCAGGCCCCAGACTGTGGAACAGTCCTCTCTTGGTATCTGAAGGAGATTGATTCTAGGCCCCCGACAGATCCAGAATCCAAGGATCCTCAAGTCCCTTAGATCTTAAAACAGCCGGCATTTGCGCGTGACCTACTCACCTCGACACGTCTACGTCCTCTCATATACCTGAACTCATCTCCAGATACCACATCGTTCCTAGCACAAGGAGCTGTTATGCTGTATTGTTTTGGGAATGACGACAAGAAAGCTCTGTGTATGGTCAGCGCGGGCATGGCCATCACTGGCCTACGACACGGTACAGTAAGTGCTACTGAACGTCTCTTCAGGGTCTCCACAGGATATAAGAGTGGAGTCTGAAGTAGCTGGAGGAAAACAGCTACTATAAGAGTCTATAAGAGTCTAAGTTCCTACAGCATACTCTTGGTCACTAAAACATCCCAAACTTCTAAATAAAGCACCAAACACGCCTAATAGCAAACAACCATTTATATCATTTATTCTCCACCCCACTAATCCCGTTCAGGCAGATGAACAGACCCCGAGCTGGCAGTGCAGGGCAAGGCGGAACCCGTCCTCCACAGATGCCCTCCACCGGGTGAATCACTAACACACCCGCAGCCATTCGCTTTGGGAATGACGAGGCACCACAGACGCGGGTTTGGGACGTGTAGGGAAACGGACACTCAGAGAAATCTGCTGCACACACGGGGAGAATATGTGAAAGCACACAGCCAGGAGTCCAGTTCCCCCTCAGTGCCATTCCGAGCCAATGCCGCATGAAACCTGAGCGGCTGCTGTGTGAGCTGTGGCCCAGGCGCCCGCCTCACATGGAGGGTCACAGATGAATACAATGAATACGAATGGCTGTTTAATATTAGGCATGTCTGGAGCTTTATTTAAGCCATGTGATTCCACCCTCAGGCTCCGACCTCCAAGAGCGCAGGGACACAGCCACCGGTTTAGGACTATGTTAGCGTCGGCTCGGGCCTGGCCTGTGATAGCTGCTCAACGTTTTTTTAATCAAATGAAGGAAGGAAACTCTCATGAAGACAGTAAGTAGCGTAGAATACCCCCTGTGTGTTCTAGAACATAGCCGTAGTCCCACGAGTGAAGGACACCTACCGCCCCTCATCCACCCACAGGACACACACGGTAAACGCCGTCAACATTAGCAGCTTTCAGACTTACCCAATTCGATCCACAAAAGGATCCATAGTCTCGTCCACCAGGTGCCTGTTGGTCTGCCTGCTACCAAATCCTTGTTCTTTAAACATCTTGGTTAGTACCAAGAGATCACTTGGTGCCATCTCAAAGTAGGCATAGTAAAGAAAAATAATTTCTAGCAGCATAGACTGTTCCCGAAGGCACTGAACAAACCAGCGAGACACCTGGCGTTCAGTCTGCACAACCAAGGAAGGAAAAGATAGGAGAGAAACTGTCAGATTAGAAACATTTAAGATGTTTAACCTATTTTCTACTAAGTAATACCTGCACATGAAGCAAACTAAAAAAGTACCAAAACAGGGTTTAGAAAGTCTCCCCTCTACAATTCCTTCTACGCTTCTCCCCAGAAGACTGTCAGACGCCTCAGTCTCCACGTCTAGAAACAGCCGCAGACAGTCCCCAGCCCACGCTGAGGCCCACCGGCTCCTCTGTCATCTGTGCAGCCGCCGGTCAAGCTGCCCCAAGTGACTGCTGCACTGTCCACCTTACCGTTTGTACTTAATAGTGTACATAGATTGTTTCCTCTAGAAGTATATTTACTGCTTTTTAGAATTGTTTAGCAGTATAACATTAATTTTATAAGGCATTGTTTTAATGCTACATAGTGCTCTACTGCATGGAAATGCCTATTTATTTTCAGCATCTTACCTGAATGAGCATTTAGGTGATCACTCTTGTGCCATTAAGACCAATGCTATACGACTGACACATCAACCAGACAAAAATGTCAGCAAAGACAGAGACCTGAACAGTTTTTTTTTAAATTATTATCATTTTCTAAAGACTTTATTTATTTACACATACAAAAGAGGGGTGAAGGCTAGAGGCTGGTGAGAGGATTCACCAGACATAGGGAGCAGAACAGGCGGATCTACCGAGACCCACCTCTGAGGGGAGCAGTGAGGAGACAGGAGAGGTCTGCTGCACTGTACCCTGTGGGTCACCCCTAGCTGGGGACCGAATGGCGCTGCAGTGGCTGCAGACAGCTTCACATCATTGCCACTTAACCCCTGCGCCACGAGGGAGGGCCCTGTGTTGAGTCTTTATACTCAAGTACATGATATGTCTATTTGGTTATAGTTATGGCTTTTCTTATATACACTTATTTATTCCATTTTATTTTATTTAAAGATTTATTTAGGACCCTCCCTGGTGGTGCAGCACGTTACAGCGCAGCACTGAGAAGCTTAAGCCACTTCCGCAGGAGTTCGATCCCCGCCTGCCCCGGAGGAGATCCACATGGCGAGGCAGACCTCTCCTGACCCGCCCGCTGCTCACCTCAGCACTGTACTTCGTCAATCTGCCTGTTCTGTTCCTGGTTCTGTCTCGGGTGAATCCTCTCACCCTCCACATCTCTAGCCTGTACCCCAGCTCTATATGAATAAATAAATCTTAAAAAAAAAAAAAAGATTTATTTATTTATGTATACAGAACTGGGGTACAGGCCAAAGGTGCAGGAGTGGTGAAAGGATTCACCAGAGACAGAGCCGGGAGCAGAACAGGCTGAGTGACGAAGTACAGTGCTGAGGGGAGCAGCGGGCGGGTCAGAGAGGTCTGCCGCGCCGTGTGGATCACCTCCGGGGCAAGGATCGAACTCATGCTGACGTGGCTTTAGCTTCTTAGTGCTGTGCTTTAACCTGCTACACCACCAGGGAGGGCCCTATTTATTACATTTTAAAAGGACAACTTTATCAGGAAAAGGAAAAGGAAAACGTAGGTACTTGTATGGTCACAGATGGGCAGGAGAGCTCTTATACCCATTTTTTCTTCCATTTAGAAACAATTAGCTTACTTCTAACCAATGTGTGCTTTTGATATTATACATAAGCCATTTTCTTCTATTCAACACTTTAAATAGGGCCTCCCTGTGACAAAGGGGTTAAGTCGCAGTTCTATCAAGCTATTGCCAGCCACTGTGGCATAAGTTTGATCCCTGGCCAGGGATGACCCACATAGCGCTGTAGACCTCTCATCTCTCCCCGCTGCTCCCCTCAGCAGAGTATCTCAATATACCTGCCTGTTTTGCTCCTCACTCTTTCTCTGGTGAATTCTCTCACCCCCCCACACACACACCTGTAGCCTACACCCCAATTCTTGCATGAATAAATAAATCTTTAAAAATAATAACTTAAAATAGTTACTATTTATAACTTAAGTTGTTCTATTAAAGATGTATAATTTTCAAAGAGACCACATTCCAATCTACAAATGTATATTAGCTTGAGACTTATGATAAAAGATTGAGAGCACAGTCATACACTTAATAGATAATAACAAAGAAGATGAAATCTTGGGTTTCACTGTAATAATCTCCAGAAGTATACATTGAGGTAAGAGGACAAAATTAGCCGGATAGACAAACTGGAAGGAAAATGTTCATAATCAAGTTCTATTAGTTAGTCATCAATGCTCTGATTAACTTTTCTAAAGACTGACAACCTATTCGTGTTCTACGCTCACATGTGAATAAGCAACCTCACTCGGATTTGAGGCGCACACACAGGGTATATAGTCACCTTGAGGCACAATGACCACGTACCATGAGGTTTCCATGTGTCTCCCATGTTGGCGCTTCTGTCTTATAGAGCTCTTCAAACTGCTGTCTATATTTTGTGACTAGTTCCTTCTCTAATTTGTCAACACAGTCTGCATATTCAGCCTTAAAAGAAAAATCCAAAATAGAGTAACTTAAGAGTAAAAGGTGAAAATTCAAATGAATGACATAAAATCATTAAACAGGATGGAATTTTATAGGGTAAATGGAACCAGGAGGACTAAGTGAACTTACCCTATAGGGATGTCTTTCATCTTGGAAGTAAGTGAGAAGGTGCAACACACAACGAAGAATACAAGTCCTTTCTTCGTAATAATAATCTGCAATCTGGCAAGAACCCAAACATTTCAAGTCAATTACTTGTCTTTGTACAGATGATAGTATGAAATTTACTGATAAAGAGATTACTTGAAACATGACTAGAGGGCCCTCCCTGGTGGCACAGCACTAAAAGCGCAGCACTATTAAGCTGTCCGCAGCCACCACAGCACAAGTTTGATCCCCGGCCAGGGAGCTGACCCACATGGCACGGCAGACCTCTCCTGTCCCACCTGCTGCTCCCCTCAGCAGTGTACTTCGTCAATTTGCCTGTTCTGCTCCCCAGTCTGTCTCTGGTGAATCCTCTCACCCCCTCCGCACCTCTGGCCTTTACCCCAGTTCTGTATGCATAAATACATAAATCTTAAAAAAAAAAAAAAAAAAGATGTGACTAGAAAAGTTCCATATATACAAGCAATCACAGAAAGGGAAACAGTATTAGTTCAGAGGAAAACAAAAGGTCTTCATGAACTAGAATGTAAGTGAAGTCATACGATAAAAGGAATTGCCAAATGATATAAAACAACTTCCCCAAGAAGTCTTCTGCATATAAGTCATATAAGATAAAAGGAATTATTTAATAATATAAACAGTTTTTTGGCTCAGGAGAGCATTTAAGCAATGCACACTTTTTACAGACTGACAGGCCGAACACATGAAACCACACACAGAACACCACTAACGTATGTCCTTCTTGCTTGTAACTAAAGCAACTAAATTCTCACGAAATAAATAGAAAACCACTCCAGAAGCCGAATCCCGTTTTAAAATGAGAAGGCTGCTTTGGAGTCTGGGGGAGGATAAAGGAATAAAGAAATACAAATTACCCTGTTGTACTTGTATCTAGAGGGAATAATACCCATGAACTAGTTCTCACCCCAATGGCTAAAGAAATCTCCTTGGGAATAAAACATCAGCTGAGTGCAGTGGACAAAAACCTCATTTCACAAAGGAGTTAACAAGCATCTTCATTACAACCAACAAAATAGTCAAAACCCAGCAATGTTCAGGAAAACAAGGTCAAGAAGCTGTTGCCCAATTTACACACAGACCAGGAGCGGTGGCCACTACTGACCTTCAGGACCAAGGCCTGGCTCTGCCTCTCATCCTGCAGCACTGTCTGAAACAACAAAGAGTCAAGAAGTCACCTTATAAACAAAACTCGTTAACAAAGAAAAAGGTAATCAACATTACCCTTCAAAGCACGATTGCCCCTTCATATCCAGAAATATTTTTTACCAAAGTATAACCAAGTCTGTGCTCAAATCCCCGTCTGCCCTCTCTGGCCTCTATTTCCTGAGGAAATGCGGGGCTGGGCCGCTAATTGTTTTCCCAGACCTCTTCAGCTCTGATGTGCTGAGACGCCATGATTCACATGTCAACCTCTGACCTCTCCGCCCCTCCAGTCTATATGTTTTTTTTTCAAGCCATCAGAACAGTTGCATCAGATCTGTTATTGTAACTAATCTACATCCGTGGCAAAAAGCTGTTACCAAAAGCCAACAGGAGAAGGGGACAGGAGGAGAAAAGGGCTGGGTCCACTACAGACCTTCAGTGAGTCCCGGGTGCCTCTGTAATCCTCCTGGAGGTAGCACTGGAGCAACTGCACACTCTGTTCTTCATCAAGACCCTGAAATATGGAGGCTCCAAATTTAAAAAAGGCACACAGGATGCAAAAAAGCATTCTTAAAGATCTGTCTCTAGGAACAAATACAGAACTCAAATAAACAAAATCCCTTTTAGAAGATTTTACACAACATAACCATTTCAAAGCAAAAAAGAAAAAAGGGAGTCCATCACTAAGATCATTTACATGGCAATTTACATGTCAGAAACAACTGTGCTCACCCACCTGCACACACCATAGCGACAGACATGAGCTGGAACTTCAAATGAAAAAGAAACAGCTATGTACTTAAATACAAAGCAGTCAACTTGAAGATCACCACACATATACTAAAGGAAACTACGACAGGCAGCTAATGACAGGCCACTTGACTTATGACCATCAGCAAGAGCTGCAACTTGCGGATCTTCTCCATTTAATCCACCAACCTGAAATGAACTGAACATTCACTCACAGCCACTGACAGAAAGCCATGCCCATACACACTGCAGGCAAGAAACGGACTCGGTGCGTACTCACCAAGAACTTGCTGACTCTCAAACCCAGCTCCTTCAGCGGGGAAGCCACCTCTTTATTAGCTTTCACTTTTTCAGCTGAATGTGGACTAAGAAAAGAACAATGAATTATTTCCTCATTCTCAATGACCTCAGGAATTTAAAATAAAAATACTTGGGAGATGTTTTTAGCATAAGCCTTTTCCTACCCTTCAGGTACCTACCATGTGCGCATGCGCACTTATCTCCAAGGACTTTATTACACAGAACTATTCATGCCTCTGTAGTAAACATAATATAGTCTGCTACAAAATGTTAAATGTAGTTGTAACAAATTATTTGTAGATCTATTAAGTTGCTATCCTGAATGGTGAATATTACTATCCCCATTTTACAAGTGGAATTGCCAACACCTAGAAAAAGTAAATAACTTACCAAAAATCCCACAGCTTATCAAGAGTTGAGGTGAACTGAACACCAGGGTCTGTCAGTCAGTACACACGATCTGTCACTTAGCTCTCTCCACTGGGAAGGCCTGTAGGCCAAGCACCCAGCAGCAGTGAATGCACCCAGAGCCCAGATCCGTTTCTAGTAAGACCATTCTCTAGTAATGACAGCTTGGAGAAATGACTGATTATAGATTGGGGAGGTGGGGGATGGGGGGCAGGGGAAAAAAAGACAAACCTAGACGATTGTGTAATGCCAGGAGAAGGGAAACATGAAACAAAAAGATTGGGACATGTCACAAGGACATAGAAGTCGACCAGAAAGAATGCTCGATGGCCAAATCTCAAACAAGGGAAAAGCAAAGTACAAATATAAATAAGTGAGTCCACACTAATATAAAGGAAGAGTGAATAAATGAGGAAAAGGGAAAAAGCTTCCTTACAGAACAATTCCAACTATACATAGACGCTACTACCCCCCTCAGGAGCTGGAGTTAACCCCACATTTCGAAGGGGTCACACTTAATGACTCACTTCCGAAAGAGAGCAGAGAAAGGAGAAAGTTGGCAAACACTACCTCAGGCAAGCGAGCGAGGCGCCACCACCAGAGATCTCACGCAGACAGAACGCCCGGTACAATGTGGGAATAACAGTGGCTCACCTCTACATACCTCCCCCAGCCCAGAACCCCCACTACGGAGAGCAGCGTCAGACAGCCAAGTTGAGGGGATTCTACCGAGTGCCTGACCAGTCTCCGTCAAAACTGGTGGTGATCATGAAAAGCAAGGGGAGACGGCTCAGCTCTCCAAGCTGAGAGCGAAGGGGGTGTAAATGGCATGCATGGTGGCCTGGCGGGGTCAGAAGAGGCCACTAAAGGAAAACAACAACGGTTACATTTTAAGTCTGTGGTTAAAAAGAACAGCCTGTCAGACTTCAGAGCCATGCTCCTACATTGCTAGCTCGTGTCTTTTAAAAAGAGAATATGCCACAAACGTCTATGTTGCCACTGCTGGATTTTTTTCTATAAAGACTCACATTTCACAGAAAATCCACAACAGAAAGACTAGCAAACTGTCAGTTCTGAAAGAGGCAACATAAAATGATTATGAACACAGACACTGGATTAAGACTGCCAGGTTCAAATCCTGGTTCTACCACTTACTAGCTGTGTGACCTTGGGCAAGTTACTTAACCTCTTTGTGCCTCAGTTTCCCCATCTGTAAAATGGAAACAATAATAAAAGGACCCAAATATGATAATGATAAGCTTGTTTTAAAACTTCATATACTCTAAATACACAGTAAAGTAATTACAGAAAGAGTAACATGATATGTTACTTCAAAATAATTACGGGGGGCTTTGGTGGTGGGTGTGGGGTGATAACACACATTTGCAAAGTATCACCCTATGCCCCTAAAACAGACATGGTGCTGTACAAACCAGTGTTCCTCAGTAAACATAATTAGAAAATTTTAAAGCAAAATAACTATAGGGGAAAGGATTAGTTCTTCACTAACCTAAGGGAATGAAGACAGAAGGTGAAGATGTAATAAAAATCAACAGCTGTTTCAAAGTAGAAGGGAAGTGAGAATGGTTTAAGAACTACAGTGCATAACAGGTAAGATCCAGACAAGGAATTAAGAGTTCAGTCCTAGCAGCATACCCGCTTTTATAGCTTAGAATTTGTTTTCCGCTGCCCATTAAAAAACAAACAAAAAAACTACATAGTCAACCAAAGAATCAAAATAGTACCTATCTCAAAGGGCTTGTAAACTAAGTTATGACAGTTTATTCAGTTCTGTCAAGTGCTTAAAACAGCACGAGGCCCAAATGAGCCCCACAGGAAGCACAGCTGAGCCTGCGTGTCTCTGCCACTCTGACACCACAGCATCCCCACCAACGCCAATGACTGAATGAAGTATGAGGAATAATAACTGAATCTTTATGGAATGCTCACCTCAGACACTGGGATTATGTAACTGGATCTGACAATACTGCATTTCTCGAAGGAATTTCCCTTTCTTTAAATAGACAAAACACTGTGCCCTACTCTTTTCCACAGGTAACCAAACTGTTTCCTAATTGACCCAGCCAGCCCAGTATGACTGTCAAATCACACGATGATGGTTTCCTCTCTGCTTCCTCAGGGACTTACTCTACACAGATGCATGCAACCACCATACCTGGGAGGTTTATAGTAAGAAAGCCCCTCTAATAACCGCTGCCAGTGTTTATTCAGTTCTGCTTCAATCTGATTCTGGAAAAGAATAAGAAAATCATACAGATGAGATTTTACTCAGACGTCAGGATCACAATGAGAATATCGTACTCCTTTGACTCATTTTTTTAATACTCATTTCCCCACAGCTGAAATCATTTTGAATCCAGACTTCTGTCACCTCCTCTTCTTTTGCTTAACATCCTAACAGTGGTTTCACTTTATTATTATAGTGGTAAGCATCCTTTCTGGCAGTTGCATAATGTTTTATCAAGTGGTACATTATACCTTATTTGCCAATTCTGCACTGTTAAGACACACTGAAGCCGACTCTTCTTCATTAACCCGAATGCCATCATAAAGAACTTTGCAGCACAAACCTTTTGCAGGATTTCTTTCTTTTAAGATCTATTCCTAGAAATGGAATTGTCAGGCTAAAGCATATCAAAAAACGTTAAGGCTCTAAAACTCATTATGTTCAATACCATAACAATCATTTACTGTCATCTCAACACTTTCCTCTCTCATGGAACACTCCAAGATCAACAGGAAGAACACTCCTTTAGATTACATACTTAGGAACGTTCTAGAAAACACAAGCCTCGATGAGCAAGGAGGTCGCCATATGGAAAAAGAAGGAACAGCTATGGCAGAGAAAAGGCCCGAGAGTCTTTCTTAGCCTAAGGCGCCAGGATGGTGCTTGACCTGCGACCTCAGCAGCTAGTCAAGCAGCCCTTGTGTCTTTTCAGAAAGGAACCACTAAGGCACAAAGAGTGTAGCGATTCAGAAAACATCAACAGCAAGGTCCCAAGACACACTGCATTTTAGCAGCAAGAAGCAGGCTGTGCACAGATCATCACATTTTAGGAAGGAAAGGTTTACTTCCTACTTAAAAGGCAAATGTTTCTGTGAGATGAGCTACATGCCATCGGGAAATCAACCCAAGAATGTCACTACTTACCAGTTCTCTCAGCGCTGACCTTCCAAGCAGAATTGTCCACAGCTCTCTACTGCTCCTGAAAAATGACAGAAAATAGGTCACTTTGCTCTTTTACATCATACAAATTCTGACTAAGCTTTTTCACAGCTATCACATCTACTATTTGAAAGGAAAACTACTGTACAAACTGCTAAAATTTGAAAAAGTGGTGCTGCTGCATTGTCCTTCAGAGTTTATATGCAAAATTAAAATTAAGTAGCTAAAGTAAAAGATTTTAAAGTCAATGAAGTCAATGGAGGATGGTAGTCACCATCCTCACTGCCACATGACACGATTACCTGAGTCCTGTAAGCATCAATAATAAAGCTCACTCAACTGAGTGAATTGTGCAAAACGCAAGTATCTTAGCATGAATGAAATGTAAGACTTAATCACATTTCCTAAGTTAAGACATCTCAATTTAGTATTTCTCTCTCCCCATCTCATTAAACTGTGGTAACCTGTAAGGAGAAGCTAGAAAAGAACAACATACATTTCAATACTCCCATTACCTCCAGAAAATTTATAAATGCATGATATAATTCCCAATCAGATCAAATCTAACTCATGAAAGGCACTGTTGGTTTATTTCTTCCAAACTCCGCTGAGGTACTACCTGCAGTGCCAGACACCAAGACAGTCGTCCGCGGTCCCTGAGTGCTTCAAATACAGTCCCTACCACGAATGTATCCCAACCCCTCCCTTATCCACAAAGTTTCAAAAGTCACATTTTGGGGATATTTTTAAGTCTACAATTAAATTTCAAATAATAATCATGAAGCTCTCTTAAGAGTTATAAAAATACCAGTATTTTGTTTTGAGATCCTGGTTTCCCAATTATCTGACATCAGCCCTAGAATAGGAACCTGAAATAATTAATGTGACTTAGAAAGCATCTCTGCAGACAAAAGATAGAGCTCCTACTAAAATATATTTAACAAAAAGATTTAACAAAAAAAAACTCAAGTTATGTTAACTATGAAGATAAACTGAAAAATAACTTCTCCATTAACATGGTAACAAAAGCACTAGCTCTGCTTATTTTAGCACTGTCGGCCCTCCCTGGTGGCACAACGGATTAATACGTGCCAGCACTGCAAAGCTAGCCACGGCCGCACTGGTACAAGTTCAACCCCCGGCCCAGGTCTACATGGCACGGCAGACCTCTCCTGTCTCCCCACTGCTCCCCGCAGCAGTGTATTTCAGTGGATCTGCCTGTTCTGCTCCCCACTCTGACTATGGTGATTCCTCTCATCATTCCTGCACCTCTAGCCTGTACTCAGTTCTGTATACAAAAGTCTTAAAAAAAAAAAACTCTTTCAGGGTTTTCCCACCCAAAGTGTTAATCCTTAAACATACCTAAAAATTATAAATCCTTCCTTAAGGGTTAATGCTTTCAAGAAGACAACTTTGATTCTGACCACCAGCCACTAACTCTCACAAATATTCAAAAATAATGAGGAGATTAGATCCAATTAGTGGCTCTGTCCCTCATACTGATAATACCTATAAAGGCATAAAGAAACTGACCCCCAAATAATTAAAAACATACAAGCTCACCATTTTAAGAAATTTTGAAAGAGTACTTTCTGTAAAAGAAATTATTATCACCTAACTTGTTTAATAAATCTCAGTCAGCAGAAAATAAAGGGAGGACAGGACATGATGGTAAGTGGCCTGCAGTACAGATGTGGGAAGAGTGGCTCTTGGCTTGCCCCAAACTGATAGGACATTACCTAATACTCACCATAGTGTGGGGCTAAAATCAATGGAAATGCATTTATCATTAATTGAAAGTTTTGAGGCCTGAACCAAATCACTATTTCTGGATCATCCATCTGCTAATTATGAAAAGCTTGGGCCTCAAACTTTATGCATATTTTGTTCAGAACTCGCCATCTCTAGCTAGACAGGAGACTCTGAGTAGGTGAGAAGACCTCCAACCGCACTCAAGGACCAGCTGCCAGGATCCAAAATTCCTTGTTTTCTCAAATTCTATCTGTAGTTTTAAAAATAAATAAAATATCCTAAAGGAATCTTTCAAAAGGTAGCTGGTCCTCAGACTACATGGAGCAAAATCACCTGGGAACAACCTAGCAACACTCCAGAATCCTGGCTGCATCCTTGAGCTGCTTTTCTTAGAGACTGTACTTGGGAAATCTGTATTTTAAAATGAAGAGCCAAGTGAGTTCTGAAATGACCGCTGCTCTACCATCAGTTTGCCTCAGAGGCACAGCTAAAACATAGGCCCTTTCAGTCTTCTTTACTCGATAAGGCAGCTTTTTTTTTTTTAAGGGAAAAAGATCCTGCTATTATTAAACAAGACTGGAAATCACCACCTGAGTGTAAAGCAGCAACTTTTTTTGAAGTATAATGAACAATCACTACTATAGTTTCAGGTGCACAGTTATGATAATATGACATTTGCACACAATAGGGACTGATCACCACAGTAAGTCTATGTACCATCTTTCTAGCAACTTCCAAATTGGCAATACCATATAACTGTTTACAGTCCTCATGTTGTACATTACAGCTCCTTGGCTTACTTATTCTATAACTTGAAGTTAGTACTTCTGAATCCTCTTTCACCCGTTTCTCCCAATCTTGCTCTCCTCTGGTAACTACCAATCAGCTTTCTGTCTCAATTTTAGTTTTGTTTTGTTTTTTAGATTCTCCATAAAAGTGAAATCATAGATTACTTGTCTACCTTATCTCGGCATAATTATCTTCAAGGTCCATCAGTATAGCTGAAATGACAAAATCTAACTTTTCATTGCTAAGTAGTATCCTATTTATATCTTATCACATCTTTATCCACTCAACTGTTAATGCACTGAGGTTGTTTCACTATCTTGACTATTATAAATAATGCTGTAATGAATGTGGGAGTGTATATATCTTTTCAAATAGTGTTTTCATTTTCTTTGAGTAAATACCCAGAAGCGGAATGGCTAGATATCTGGTAGTTCTATTTTAATTTCCATATTTTTTTTCCAGTGGACCTACCAATTTATATTCCCAACCAACAGTGCACAGGGTTACTTTTTTACCAGTCTTGCCAACATTTGTTGTTTGTCAGGTAAGAAACAACTTTACAGGCATCACTTTAAAACAAAAATGTGACTTCTCTGGGAAAAAAACTCTCATTGGCAAAGTCATGTCATGTTGTGGCCTTTTCTGTTATCAAGTGTCAAGACTGAGTAATATCCACTGAAAATGAGCTCTTATATTAATAGCCAGCATTTACGTAGCAGTTATGTCAGGCAACTTGTAAACAGGACCTAACATTTTGTCTTACTGAATACTGACAACTTAAGAGGCAGGTACTGTTGTTATCCCCATTGCCTCTGAAGAAACTGAGGTTGTGGAGTGGTTAACTTTCCTACGGCTAGAAGATAATATATCCCGGCACAGGGATTAACAACAGGTTTGCATTCACCGCACAATGTAATCATTGCATCACACCACCTCAAGATACACCCAAGAATCCGTCCTTTAAGCAAACCTGAGGGAAACTTTCTGTTCTACATGGCAGACCCTACCCTTAACAAAGTGGCTGGGACACAGGAGACTGCAAAAATGCGTGCCAAGAGAAGACAGAATAAGGAGAACATGGTAGTTTACCAGCAAGGGAATCTGGGGGAAAGGGTTCCTTCCTGGCTCCTCAAGCCCTACAGACTTCATGGTCTAGGATGCAAGTAAGTCATAGACATCGAAGTCCACAAAGGGAAAGAAAATGGACATTAAGTCAATCACACGGTTCCCAAACAGCAGAAACGCAATCCGTGCTAAGGGGCATAAGCCCAACATTAAACACTACAAAGGCTATTCCACATAAGATAGAAAAGAGAGGAGAGAGATCACTATGAATGGACCCCAGGACCCATGAAAGACCACCTCAAACTGGGCCCTGAAAGTCTGAGCAGGTGATTTTCAAAAGACACAACAGACAAGGCCAGAAGAGCGAAGTCCGACCCAGCGCCTCTGGGATACATCTTCTCTATATGTACAGTTGTTGCTCACTGATTTGACAATTAAGTAAACTACTGGGGTAAGAAGAAAGACACACAAATTAAGAAAGATGTCCCAAAGGTAAAGTTAAAAAAATTGTAATGTTCTAATAAACAATATAAAAATCTGTTCCTAAAAGAGCTGCAATAAATGGAAATTGGATCACAGGGTTGGAAACCTGTGGATTAGGAGAAGCAGTCTCCACGACCGAGTCCTTTTGGGAGAAAGCTAAGACAGCTAAGCTAGTCTGGGCCAGTCCTTCGGAGAAGCCTAATTCTCTTCCACATGGGGAAAATAAATAAAAGCAGCCGGTGCGCAAGGCTGCTCTGACTGCACAGACGACAGATCACTCGGAGCAGATACTTAAGCTTAACAGTGAACTTTTCAAACCACAGCTGTTTGTGTAGCACTCAGACCACTCAGACTTCCACAAACACACTAAATGAAAAGCACAGTGACACCCCAAAATGCCAACATTCCACCTGACTTTCTGCCAAATCCTGAATGCTCTTGACGATTCAAGCGTAGTATTCCATTTTGACTAGTGCTAACTCATATTAAAATACACAACAGAAACCAGAAAATCAAGTGGACACTACTCTGAAAGGGGTTCCCTTTCGGAGAACCGGGTTCCGATGTGAAGTCATCTGCAGAGCAGCGGGCACCAGGACAAGAACTAAGTTTTCGCTTCGGCCAGACCTCTAGGCTAGTGATCAGGAAGGGGCGAGCTGCTGGAGTAGCTTGCGCTTCCAACAGGGGACGAAATGCGCAAAGCGGCCCCCCAAACCCTAGTCATTTCTTCCACCTTCAGATAGGGGCTTGACAGGTTCCCCAAGATGATCAAAGCACCTTTTAGGCAAACCTCCCCTCTCCATCCCTTGTTCTTATTCATTAACGAACACACCTTCTGTACCCAAGCTCCGCAATGAATGCAGTGAGGCTAGGAAAGAGCGCACCCTGACCACAAGGTGCCTGATGAAAGCAGCGGAGAAACCGCAGAGGAGGAAAAAGCAAACTAGTCATCACAGGGCTCCGTGAGATTCCAAAGAAAACCTCGAACTGCCTGCGAGGCGAAGGAAGTGCTACCAGGGACGGTGGGCAGTATTTGCAGTCAGTATTCACTGAATCTTTTACATGCTCTCCTGGGGCTCGCGCACACTGCGTACAAGACCAAAGAAAGTGGGGGGCCACGGCGGCCATGGCCGCCGGGACCTAGGAGACTGGGATGTTTCCGTCTAGGAGGCTAGCAGGGAGCGTGGAAGGCACTGGAAGCGCTAAGGTGGAAGATGACGGCGTGGCGGTGTCGGGTTAAAAGCTCTGGAGTCGGCAAGGCTGAACCCTCGCTCGCCAAACTTCGCCAGTGCTCAGCTGGGTCTGTTCTCGAGCCCCCGGAAAACACAGGGCGCCTCCCGGGTGGGGAGCAGCCCGCGCGCCCGCGCCTAGAAAGCTTCGCCCGCGTCCCGACCCGCGCCGGTGAGCGCCCGCCCGGGGAAAGCTGCAGTTTTCAAAAACCGAAGGCCGGTGCCCGGGAGGCACCGAGGGTTTGGGGGTGTCCGCGGGGGACCAACACACGCCCTGACGAGTGGCTGGATGAATGAAAGGTTGCGCCGGGAGAGAGCCCAGAAACTGCAGGGAGGTGCTGGGCGCCACCCGAAAGGGCCCCAAGCGAGAGCACATGGAGAGCCCCGGCAGCGTCGCGGGGCAGGCAGGGGAGCTGCAGGGGGACCCGGGCGGGGGCTCCTCCCGCCACCGCCAAGCGCCCCGTAGCGCCTCGAGGGAGCTCCAGGGCCCGACGAGGAAGCGCGGGGGAGGGGGCGCCCAGGGACGCGCTGGTGGGAAGGAGGCCTGCTGGAGGGAGGCCGGCGGCGTGCGGAGCCCGGGGGCCGGCGCTGGGGCGGGCACCCGGGCACCGGCCCCCTTCTGGGAGAAGTCCCTCCAGACCCCCGCGCGCGGGGACCGTTTGGACGCAACTGCCTCCCGTCTCCTCGCCCGCCCCCACAGCCGGGCTTCGCCC